CTAATTATGCTTAACATGGAGTTTGGCTTTTTCACAGCAGCTTTTTCACACCAAGCTTGACAGTTTCACAGTGCTGTCCACCACAACCCCAAGATCTCTTGCTTGGTCAGTCACTACCAGCTGAGATCCTATCAATTTATACTTGAAGATGGGATAATTGGCCCCAGTGCCCATTCATTTACACTTGCATTCAGCTTTAGGTCAGTGATCTCACTACAAACAACAGTAAATTTCATAGCATTATCTTGCAAACTGAGCTCACTCTCCAGAATCGTGGGGAGTACATCAGGGATGCATCTATATGTGCTTGATAACTAGAAAAGACTGAACGCAGCTTGCTTTAGTTTAATGCCTCATGTACAATGTACCTGATTTCAGTTTTGCATGAGTATACATAAACACATGCCATTGTTCCTCTTATTTTTATCAACTGCCACTCTGGGTGTCTTTTTCAGCTGAACAGCAGGATAAAAATGCTTGAAATAAATTCACAAGCAAAGCTTTTGAATCTCACATTTGCAGATAAAACCAGCCAAGAAACACTAAACGGCATGCGACTGCTATAACGAAATCACAAATGTGAGACTTCTATAGCTGTGTTGTGTCCTTTAGCATATGTCAGTTGTTTAAATAAATAACATCCCAAACCTGCATTGTTGTGAGTCACCCATAGAGTTCCGGCTATTAAGGGGAATAGAAATAAAAGACTGTGGTGGAGATGATGAAGATGACGACTGCTAGAGCTTTATTTCAGCAAGTGCCCACGAATAACAGGATGGTGGGTCAGATAGCCTCCTGGAGCTTCAGGGCTGAAGTCCTGGTCACTTGTACCTGGACACCCCACCTCTGCTAACTGCAACTCCTCCCCTCTCCTGGTTCTTTACCTTCAAACTATCCCACCTTTCCATGCAGAGGAATCCCTGGGGCAACTTTCGTATAATAATTCAATGTCGTAATACTGGCTTTGCTTCCAACCTCTCCAGCCATTGGAGTAACAGGATCTTTCCCTGACCAAAGGAAGAAAAGGAGCAGCTGGGCTTCAAGGCAAGACAATGTCACCTGGGCCCTCTGTTCCCTTCAGTCAAGGGAAATCCAACCAAATCACTGCACAAGAGGGAGTTTTCAGCAGGCCTGGGAGACCTCTTGAGACCTGCAGAAATACAACAAACCTAGTTGTTCCTTAATAGGCAAAATCAGAAGAGAAGGATTATCCGCCATATGAAAGGGTTTTTCCCAAACTATGCAATGCACTCTTTCAAGAACTATGACTGGATCCCATTATCTTGGCTTTTAGAAAGGATTTTTTTTAATTCAGATTTTTATATCGTGTAGGTTTAATCCTTTACTGTTTGGCTGCATTTAACATTATTGCTTTTATTGTTTTTCTTGTCTAAATTGTTGTACATTGCCCTGACAGCTTTACAGGAAATGAGGTAGTATATAAACATTGAAGATCTTGATAATAATGTGGATAAGAATCATAAGAGGAGGTGAACAAGGAGGAAGAGGTGCTGGTAGGTATTGTTTATATTTGAATCATTCCAGGGGGCTCAGGAGGAACAGCTGGGGAAGGACTACCTTTGCCACTCAGCATCTGCTGCCTGAGGTGATCAAGTCACTCTCCTTCATGGGAGGACCAGCCCTGAGTTTAGACGTGATGCTCATGTGAGCGCACTTGAACTACAATGTAAGACTCTCCCAAGGAGCAGACGGAGATGCAGCTGTGTATGGGAAGGCTTAAGAATTCCAAAAGAAGTTTTTGCCAAGCTGGAAGTCCTATGATTCTTTGGAGAGAGTTGTCATTATACAACTGAAATACAGTTGGTATCTGTTTGAGGTAGAAATCTGATTTAACTAGGGAAATTATAATTTTATAGCCCTGAACACAGACATTCATGGTAAAAGATCTTTCTTTGCAACTTCATTGTCAATTACGTACATTTTCTTACACAGCTATGTTGAAACTTCAGGTTTTCCTGAAGTCTCTTGTCTTGCAAAGTAAATGTTTCTTTTCCTTGTGGGACTGAATGAGACCTTGTAATCTTCCACCACAAGCCTCATATTTATAAACCCTCTATTTTTAACCCAGTGATGGAATTCTGGGTTAATGCTAGTTTAGAGAGTTGTCTAGACATTTGTGAAGAGGTGGGGGTGGGTAAGGGGAAGAACAGGAAACATAATATATTGCAAAATGAGTAGCACCATCAGCCTTCTCTTGTAGCCAAGTATACAGTCACTTGGGGAAAAACAAAGTTGACGTCTCAGTTTTAATTGGGAATTGCAGAAAATGCAAATAGAATACTGAAGAAATGCCATTCAGTCGTTTCACTCAGTAAAGATTGTGAGTCAAAAGCCTGCTCTGAAGTTGTTGTGGTCAAACTATGAGTATGTGCACAGAGATTCCCTCCACCCCTGCTTTCTCACTCGCACTCTTCTGTTTTCTGTTATACCCAGAAGCTGATTCCCTTACTTTGGTCCCAGTGGGAAAGTTCTATTTTTATAATGTTCTATTAACTGAGTCATCCAAACATATTAAAGGGTATTTTCCTATGGCTAAAAGAAGCCTTAGGCAATGCATTTCTAAGGAGTGCAGCCTGGAGACTGCAGGAAAGAAGTTCAAGATGATGGCTATGGATAACATTATTAGGATGCAATCCCATGCAAGTTCAGACAAAAAAGACCGATGACCCCCAGCTATCATGGCTGGCTGGAGAATACTGGGAATTGTAGGATTTTGTCTGTCTCAACAGGCACAGGATTGCTCCCTAAGTAAAGGATTGCAGGATTATTATCGATCATAAGCTGGACATGATTCAGCTGTTAGAAGACTGCAGAAAAAGGCGACTTTAGGCTGCATGAATAGAACTGCACTTTACAGGAGGTAACTATTCCATTTTAGTCACCATTTGTCTAACCACATCAGGGACATTAGGCCCATTCTAGTCTAGGTTTGGATTTCTTGCTTCATCCAAAGGCCTCAGTGCAGGAACTAGGTGGCCCAAAGGATTTGCAAGGCCTCCTCAAGCTCTGTGACAGTGTGATAATTTCTAAAGCTGGAAATTAAGTTTTTCTTTAATTTCTAAGGTTTTTGTAGCATGAACATAATTCGCTCACGGAGACTCATGTATATAATGATTTCTGAACTTAAGAGCATCATCTGTTAGGGACTTCTCTATTGCCAGGACTCTAGTAAAACCAACCACCAGAACTTGGTTGCAGCGCAGAGAAACTGACAATTCCTTGAGTTTTGTTCCACTACAAACTGGATACAAACTGCAAATGGTGACACCAAGTGGTCAGATGCTGTATTAGCTGCAACTAAAGATCACGGGATGGTTATCCTGATGTTTTCTGTCATGTTTTCACCACATTGCATTTTAAAGATTTAATTTCTGTGAACTGCCCAGAAAGCTTTGGCTAGTGAGCAGCACGGAAATGGAATAATCATGCCAAACTGCAAACTTATCCTTTGTTTGTTGTATGGAGTTTAGCTCACTTTCTTACATACTTGCTGTTCTAATATTAAAATCTCGCTACAGCATTCAGACTACCAGAAATACAGGTAGGTTTTCGAAGAGGGAGAGGAACTAGAGATCAAATTGCCAACATACGCTGGATCATGGAGAAAGCTAGCGAGTTCCAGAAAAATATCTACTTCTGCTTCATTGACTACGCTAAAGCCTTTGCGTGGATCACAACAAATTGTGGCAAGTTCTTAAAGAGATGGGAGTACCAGACCACCTTATTTGTCTCTTGAGAAACCTCTATGCGAGTCAAGAAGCAACAGTGAGAACTGGACACGGAACCACTGATTGGTTCAAAATTGAGAAAGGAGATTGGCAAGGCTGTATACTGTCGCCCTGCCTATTTAACTTATATGCAGAGCACACCATGAGAAAGGCGGGGCTAGATGAATCACCAGTTGGAATTAAGATTGCTGGGAGAAATATCAACAACCTCAGATATGCAGATGATACCACTCTCATGGCAGAAAGTGAAGCGGAACTAAAGAGCCTCTTGATGCGGGTGAAGGAGGACAGTGCAAAAGTTGGCTTGAAACTCAACATTAAGAAAACTAAGATCATGGCATCCAGTCCTCTCACTTCCTGGCAAATAGATGGGGAAGAAATGGAGGTAGTGACAGATTTTATTTTCCTGGGTGCCAAGATCACTGCAGATGGGGACTGCAGCCAAGAAATTAAAAGATGCTTGCTCCTGGGGAGGAGAGCTATGGCAAATCTAGACAGCATACTAAAAAGCAGAGACATCACCCTGCCAACAAAAGTGCGTATAGTCAAGGCTATGGTTTTCCCAGTTGCAATGTATGGCTGTGAAAGTTGGACCATAAGGAAGACTGAGCGCCGAAGGATTGAGGCCTTTGAGTTGTGCTGCTGGAAGAGACTCCTGTGAGTCCCTTGGACCACAAGGTGATCAAACCGGTCAGTCCTAGAGGAGATCAACCCTGACTGCTCCTTGGAAGGCCAGATATTGAAGATGAAACTCAAGTACTTTGGCCACATAATGAGAAGGAAGGACTCCCTGGAGAAGAGCCTAATGCTGGGCACAATAGATGGCAAAAGAAGGGGACGGCAAAGAATGAGGTGGCTGGATGGAGTCACTGAAGCAGTTGGTGTGAGCTTGAGTGGACTCTGGGGTGGTGGAGGGCAGGAAGGCCTGGAGGAATGTTGTCCATGGGGTCGCGATGGGTCGGACATGACTTCGCGACTAACAACAACAGCATTCAGATTTCTACAGAGCTATGAAGGTGGCGTTCGACTGCTCACTATTTTTCATCGGGACCTACCTCACACGGTGGTATGAAGATAAAAGGGGAGAGAAGAAACATTGGAGGAAGAGCAGTCATAAAATGTAATAAATGAAATTTAGGAAACCTGATCAGATATTTCTATTTACCCAGAGCTTACAAAAGCTCCTTGGCTGGCAATTTTCAAAGACTTGGCTTCTGAAGTAAAAGAATTCACAGAGCAGACACCAGAGGATCTTTATGATTATCTTTTTAATCCTTGCAAAGTATTTTAAATATATATTTTATTCCATTCAATATATGCTTTTTAGTTCCCTGAAATGCAGTAAAATTATTCCAGCTTTAAAACCATCAATACATAGAATGACAAAGATCATGAAACTGATGTCTCAACTTTAATTACTTTATTATCCTTCAAAGTAAGCTGAAATCAGTACTGGTTGCCAAATCCCTGCACAAATTCTGGGAGTGGAAGCACAGATCCCCATCCCACATCTGGTTTCATACTGATGAAGTCATCCAAGTTCATCTTCACATCTTAAAAAAAAGGAAAGCAAGAGAACAGCATTATAATTCTTGGGTGGTCTGGGAAAAGATTCCTAAATACTCTGGAAATATCTGAGCGATCCAGTTTTCAGCAAACAGCTGTTCGCTATCTTCTGGGGAGTCCTGTCCAGATGTGCTGGCAAACTTTGCTCCATGAAGAGATAGGGAACCTGGTGCTTTCCAGATGTTTTGTATGAGAACTCCCATATGCCCAGTTGGCACGACCAGTAATGGTCATGGTATGTACACAAGAGATTGGCCCAGCCAGACCCAGACCAGCTAAACTCTTACTAAGGACAAGGAAGGATCTGGAGGCAAAGGGATGGACAGCTGCAAAGTTAAAAGAGTAATTAGGTCAGGATGGTTGCAGCCACTCTCCCCACACATGGTAGCAAGTAAATTCTATTGCCCACACTTAACTGAAAACGATAGGCAGGGATGCACTGTCATATCAGCTTTGCAAGTCCCCATGAATAATACAAACCTCAGTCGATACCCTTACATCTGGATGCACTTCACACAGCATAAGCGCATCTGTATCCCAGACGTGCAAGCAATTCCTGATTTAGCAGGAATAACTGGACACGGCTGTTCTTTGCTGAGAAGGGGTAATGGGAACTGGCAAGACAAACCACCTGGATCTGCTTGATTAGATTCCAAATTGGCAGGGAAAGGAGCAGCAAAGCAGCCTTCCCCAACCTGGTGACTGCTAGATATTACAGTACAACTTCCATCAACAGGGTGGGTGTGATGGGAGTTGTTGTGCAACACACCTGGGAAGGCACCAGGTTACTGCAGAGCTTTTTACTACCGTGTCCAAAACATAGCACAGCGAGCAAGAGACCCCCTGCCAGCTGCCTTCAGTTCCTTACAAGGGGAAGAAAAGCAGGGTATAGCTGAAGAGTAGGAAGGGGAAGGGGAGAAGGTAATCAAAACTTTGAACTTGCTACATCAGGCATGGGGAACATGTGGGCCTTCAACCATTTTGGGACTACATCTCCCATCAACCCTGACAACAGGAGTTGCAGCCCAGCACCATCTACAAGGCTTCTCTTTCCTGCCCCACCAGAGTACTGGGACCCTAGTGTGGGTGAGACAGTAGCAACCCTGACTCACCTGCCGTTTCAATGCACGGGTATGCAGGAGGCGGCTTCAGCCAGTCCCCGCTGGCGTTCTTCATGTGGGAGCGGTCAGAAGCAAACGTCTTCAGATACACATCAGCGCGAACCAATCTGACTTTCCTAAATAAGCCAAACACTTAAGTGAGGGGACTTGTATTGTCCGAGGCAGAACCATCAAGAAGCAGGGGGCTGATTCTGCTCCTAGTATTTTCAACTACAGCTGAACCAAATGCTAAATTGTGGGTAAGTATCAGACTCCTCAAATGTCATTTCTTGTGAATGGTTAACAATCCACTCTAAGCAGGCACATCTTATAAGTGACATTGTTGCAGGCCAGCTGAAGTCATGTTCGGCTCTACACAGCTATTCAAAAGCACACCCTGTTGGCTCAGTGAGGTTGGCACTTGGGTGAGTGAGTGCAGGATGGCAGCCAATGCAGAGTAAGCCCAGCTGAACACTACTGGACTTACTTCTGAGTGGACACCCACCAAACTGCACTGTAATTGGGAAGTTCGGACACAAAAACAACACTTGTTGTGGCACCTTAAAGACTAACATGGCATTAATTGAATGCACCTGCACCCTCTTTTTTCATCCCCTTTGGATGTAGGCAAAGAAAAGAGAGTTTCCCATTTCAACCAAATCAGAAAACTGTGATTGACAACTTTGGAAGAAGCCAGGTCATTAAACCATGGTCTGAAGGTGATTTAATATCTTGGCTTCTTCTGAAGCTGGTAAACATAGCTTTCCAATTCTGGAAAAATGGGAAACGCTGATTTGTTACAGAGTTGCTTGTTTAATCAAGGCTGTATGTCCTGGAAAAATGTTTGCTCATATCTTGACTTCTTTAGCCAAAAGATGATGATGACTATAGCATATTTTAACAATTAAGAACCTATATGATTAATCAATTCGTTCTGGAAGAATGGGGAATTGCTTGGGGTGCAATTCAAGGCTGAAGGAATGGGAGGGGCGATCGCTGTGCTCTGTCCTCCCTCTTTGGAGATTTTTGTAAGACAGGCTCTTCAGCTTGTCTGATGAGGGCACTTTGGAAGGAAAGAGAGGAGGCTGACAGTGGTTCCGGGTCTCTTGCATTCCGGCCTCTCTGATCTTCTCCCTTGCCCTCTCCTTGGAGGTAGCTTTTTCCAACCTCAGATGGAAGCTACACCAGCTGTGAGAGGACAAGGGAGGGGTTAGGAATGGATGCCCAATTCCCCCTTCCAGGGTTGGAATGCTGTCTCTGAGCTTGGAAGCATTTTTCCAAACAAGCAAACGGTTCCTGGGATATTCTCCCACAGACCATATGATCGCAGCAACAGCTAAAGCCACAAATAGTTATGTTGATCTGTGATTAAAAAAAAAAAAATCCAAAGACACAGTAATACTATTGCTGGCACCAACCACAGTGTCACCAAGAAATAGCAAAACTTTTGAGTACCCCAAAACTTCACCTCAGGCTAGATGTTAAACAAAACAAGTGGGGAATGAGAGAAAGGTAGCTCATGTTGCAGCTGCCCCAAAAGCTGCAGTCTGAATACTCTTAATACAAAATGTAAGAGAAGCTCTGCACACTTAACCAAATTAGTCTCTGCTAGATGCTTAACAGATTTTAGGTCTCAACAAGGGTTACCGGGGCAAAGAAGTAATAATGGCTACCTCAAGACATCTCTTCATTTTTCAGAAATATAAAATTTAGCTGTTACTTGATTCTGTTTCTGGGTCTAAGTGGCTGTGTTTTGGAGAATACTGAATTTAGCTGTCCAGAAAAACATGCTTTCAAGTAGAGCAAAACAATGTCGTGTTAACCACACACGGGACTCACCTTTTGAGGGTCCCATGCAATTTAATAGTGGGGTGGGCAGTGGGGCATTTTTCTCCAAGTAGTTCTAGAAATCTGTTTCACTGATTGCCTTTGGAGAATTCATAAATTCTGTGCCAGACACAGTACGGGGACTCAGCTAGGCCACTGGTGAAGCTCTGCAGTTACAGGTAAAATTAAGGCTCCAGGATGAGATAACTGCTTCCCGCAAGCCCAAAGTGAGCAGATGTCAGCTCAGTCTATAACGTGTTGGAGGGCTTTCTTGGTGATGGCCCTCCAGCAATGGAATGATCTCCTTACTGAGGTCCCTGTCATTTTGACACCAGTTTAAGAAGGCCCTTTATGCCAAGCCCATCCTGTGGGTGTTGTAGATCTATTATCTATCATTGGTTGTTTTTAGCTGCTTTTGTTTTCAAGTGTTCAGATATTGGAATATTTTATGCATGTTGCATTGTTTTATTGACTGTGGTAACCCAGCCAGAGAGTTTGTGGTACAGTAATGAAATCAATCAATCTATGCAATACAATGCCAATTTTGGCAGACCCAAATCTTGGTCGTTATTTAAGATACGCAAGCACATTTAAGCTATATATCCTCACCTTCGAAATTCCGGATTAATAATGCTGTCTGATTTAAAAGCTTCTTCAATGTAGAGATCGAAGGGGCAGGGGAAAGGGAGCACAGTGTCAAGGTCATAAATGAAGTTCTGAGCGCCACTAGTCACATGGAGCAAAACCACATGATAATCCTGCAAGTAAAAAGATAGCACAATCTTTTTCACAGTACACAACAGTGATGATTAGAGGAGAAAGGCTGGGAAAAGTGTCCAAATTTATGCATAAAACACAGTTCAGAACAGACTGTATAAAGTATCATTTGAAACATGTCTGAAAACACTTTTGTGTCTATGATCATGAGCCTGAAAGTTCCTGCTTCAAAGCTTACCTTGGCCACAAATCCAGTGCTGATAATGTTGCAAAAATATTATTATTGCTATTGCACTACATTTATATCTTGCTTTTTTCCCTCTTGCAAGGAACCCAAGGCAGCTTGCACAGTCTTCCTACACTCCATATTGTCCTCACAACAACCACCAGTGAGCAGAATCTGGAGGAACCGAATCCCAGCCATGTCACACTGGATAAGTGGTATCAAGAGACTATTTTGACTTCAAGCTCCACTGTTAGAATAATAAACTCATTACCCTTACTCTCTGGTATGCAGAGACTTGGGAGGTCACCCTAGTTAAAGATGTGTACATTAATTGCAAATAATCCAGCCAATTCACTGGTTAAATTTTCAACACCAGTTGAAAAAACCAATAGCTCTGAAGCAAATAAAGAAAAACCTTTGGTTATTAAATCCATTTGGTTTTAGATCTTAGAAAAGATCTATCACTATCTAAAAATCTATCACCATCTTAAAAAGGTACCAGCTATGTTCAGACAATCGTATCTTGCTTAAATAAGCTAGGACATGAATGAGACTTTTGGGTGTACACGCAGCCATTCTACACAGGTAAATCAGAAACTCTTTGATTAACGCTAGCTTTCTGTTTCATTCAAACCAATTTACCATGCCTAACAGCCTTGGAACAAGAAAGGGTATTAAACCAACTTCATAGCATGATTTCATACCCTGGTCTGTTCCAAAAGCCATTATCTACGGTTTCCTAGTCCATGACTCCTGGTTTATTTGCTGACTTATGAAAAGGGATGAGCGATGGAGTTGTGTGTGTACCAAAAAAGCTCTTTTTATCTCATCTTATTAGGCCAGGATGTAATGGCCAAAAAGAGATCATTCTTTTCCATGTGAAAGCACTTTTGAGATGGTGCTTGCTATCGAGTCATTAGGAATAATTTCTTTATAATGGATCTGCTGCCTGATTAATCTTTTAAGTTGATAAAAAGTGTTTTAACAGTTTAATCTAGCCTATGACCAGGACTGTGAAGGACATTCTGTAGTAACTCCCTTGTGAATGAAATTGACTCTTCATATTTAAGACACTTTCATTAATGCATATGTCATACGTTGCAAGTTATAGCCTCAGCCTCCAAACTTCCTCCAAACCTACCGTAGAGGAATAATAATACCAACTTATTGTACTGAAAAGTTACATATATTATTTTGCCACATTCACACCAGATTATTACCAGTCATGCTGACAGCATCTGATGGGAGTGGTAGCCCACCAAAACTGGAGGAACACCAAGTTGGAGAAAACTGCTAGACAGGTCCATGCTTTGAACTCATCATGTCGCTTCTATTTCAGCGGAGCTCTTTAGAACAGCATTTCCTAACCTGGTGCCCTCTGTACGTGTTTGCCATCAGCACCTAGCATTCCTGACCACTGTCTGAGCTTGATGGGAGATGAAATTCAAAACAACTGGAGGGTATCAGGTTGGGAAAGGGCTGTGTTTAAAAACCAGTGACATCTACATTAAAGAAAAGTTACAGAAAGAGCAGTGGAATAACATTAAACAGAGGGGAAGATGTGGATTTTCTCACCCAAATCACAGGTTGATCTGCACATCCTGCCTGTTGCTTCCAAAGTGGTACCTGCAGTTGATGAGGAATGAGTGATTATATTTACATTAGATCATTTAATGTTTCAGGCTGCTAAACGGGAGCTTTGTTTCCCACATAAACAGGTGACAAAGCTAAGATTTTTCACGTTATTACAGGCTAAGATTTGAAGAGATCCAAGGAGACGCCTGAAAACTTTCACATATGCAAGGTCCCTTGTGGCCCTTTCAGTCCAGACCAAGCTATTCTTGTTGTATAATTAGCCCCTTATTCCCCATACTTTCCTGCAATGCTGGGGTCCCCAAGGCATACACAATGCTTGTGTACTAATGCTACGGGTGTACTAAGCCTGTGCATAAAACCTTTTCAATAGGATAGCAGATGCCCGGAGCACCTCTGTTGGGAGGCGATTCATTTTCTTTGCTAAGAGTCACCATTTTTACAGTGACCATTTTGCCAAGATGGCAGTCATTTTGGGGTGGTGGGACTTGTGCCCCAACACAGCTGGGGGGCACCAAGTTGGGGAAGCCTGGTCTAGGTTCACACCTGTGATGGTACCACTTTTAAAAGTTTTGTTTACCAGCCTTGCTCCTTCAACAACAGTCTGTTTAACCCATAAAGCTTTTCCTAGCAAAGAGATTAAGGGATAAGTTTTTACAACTAAAGGCTGCAATCTTACACATTACCTGGGAATGAGTCCCGAAGGGACATATATCCAAGCAGACATGAAGACAATTGCACTGTTAATTCCTGCATGCCAGGCTGACGCAGGAACAATTCAAAGAGCCATCACCTTAATCTGCATACAACATACAACAGGGTACATATAGCAAGAGATCCCTAAGCTACAGAAATGCCAAAAGTTATTACTACATACATACCAGGATCCAAGTTTTGATCCTTACACTGCAAAGAGCTGTTGGATTTCAGGCTCACAATTCACAACTCACCATCCTTCTATTGTTGGAAATGAAAACAGCATAAAATTCCTCTAAAGGGTATTGATTCTGGTTTCGTATATATTCACAGAGTTTCCATACATTTTCTTCACTAGAAGGAAACAAAAATACAAACCACTTCAATTTAATCTCACATTCCCAGGATAAAGTCTTTGATAATGCAGAATAAAATCATTGACATCCCTTTGCTGGGCTTTAATAAACATTTTAAGGCATTTTGTGCCTCATCTCTGCTTATATTACTCTGCTGAACAGCTGATCCAATCCTTTTGCAAAAGTTGCACTTGTGTATATGAACCTGTTCTTCCAAGTTTCCTGCCCACCACACATCTCTTTAGTATCAAGTGAAGGACATTAGTTGTGCCTAGAACAGTCTCCCAATGGGGAAAATTATCAAGTTCCCTTTATGGGATTAAAACATGCAGAGGAGGAGAGATAAAGGAAGCAGAGGGATATTTCTGAACATGTCCTAAGCCACCTTCAGGAGGGAACCGATTATAACAATAGACAGGATGAAAGAATACAGAGATTATATTCCCAAATAAGGTTTGACTATCTGCTATGATTATTCAGTGGTGATGGGATGGGATTAGGGTTGCCAGTTTCAGACATCCTTACTTTTGAAACCCTATTCAGGCATGATTAAGTGTAAGTGACTAAATGCAAGGGGAAACAGACTAAATGCAAGGGGAAACGGAACTGTGCCAGGGAGAAACCCGGGTGTCATGACATAATGAAGCTCATCCCTACAGGTACACCTGCAGAAGGGAGGTCTTCACATGTGTAGCTGTACACATGTAGGTTTCCACATGACTCAGAATCCTGCACTATTGGAGTCCTGCACACAAGCATGGCTCCTGAAAAGCTTCATTGTAAGGAGAACATTGGGCAGTATTTTGTTATGCTACAATTTGTCTCTGACATCTGCATTTATTGTTTCATTTTTATACCACTCAATAGCTGGGGCTCTTTGGGTAGTTAACAAAACTGAAAATTAAACAAATGTAAAGAAGATATGCACATTGATTTAAAGGAATAAAAACATAACAACAATTAAAATTGCTATGGTTCAGTGCAGAAACATAGCAGCAGTACAGAATAAGATGGAATATATAAAAACAAGGTTTAAAAGTTAAACGATTAAAATACCAGGAAAATAAAAAGGCCTTCACCTGGTGCTGAATAGAATACAAGGAAGGTGCCAGGGCACCTCTATGGGGAGCTCATTCCAAAACCAGTTGTGCCCCAATGGAAAAGGCCCTCCTCCTGAAAGTCACCTGCCTCACTTCCTTTGGAAGGGCTGTCAGAGAAAGATCCCTAAAGATAATCTTAAGGTCCAGGTAGGTACATAAGGGATGAGGTGACCCTTCAGATAACCTGGCCCCAAGTCTTTTAGGGCTTTGTATGTTAGTACTAGCATTATGAATCAGGACCAGACTTCAACTGGCAGCCAGTGCAGCTAGAAAAACACTGGAGTAATGTGCTACAGCGAGCCAGTCCCCACTAATATTCTTGCTGCCCTGTTTTGGATCAGTTGCAGTTTCAGGACCATTTTCATAGAGCACTTTGCAGTAATCCAAACGAGAGGTTACCACAGCATGGATAATTGTAGCAAGGCTCTTTCTGTCCAGATAGGGTCATAGTTGGTGTATCAGTTTAAGCTGATAAAAGATGCACTGTGCCACAGAGTCCACTTGTGCCTCAAGTGACTTACGGTGACCCTATGAATGGAGGCCTTCCAGAATGTCCTGTCCTTGACAGCCCTGCTTAGCTCTTATACATGCAAAGCTGTGGCTTCCTGCATAGAATCAATCCATCTCATAGTTGGTCTTCCTTTTCTTCTTTTGTCTTTGACTTTTCCTAGTGCAACTGTCTTCCCTAGGGAGTCTTGGCATGGCCCCATTCTTGCTTGCATGATGTCTACCAACATTTAATAATGCCTAAGCAGGGCTTTTAAGTTGCACAAGAAAGAAATGTGTAGCCTTTCCCGGCTTCTGGGATGAATTGACATAAGAAACTATGGCAGACAGACTCTGCCTTCCTGTCCAATTCTTACAACAGACCAGTCCTGTTGACTTCTAATTGCATCCAGTTATGGGACTTCTTTGCTAGTACACATGCTTTGTAGTATAGTCTTAAGGGCTTGCATTCTAGTTCTAATTAAATTCCACTCATTTAACATCTTACATCCAACTGAAGCACGATGTTGCTGTGTAAAAGTCTTCCATGCAACTGCTGCCATGTTTAACAGGAGCATAGAAATGTTCTAATAAAAAAAAATGTTTAAATCCATGAAGCATTTCCCTAACTGCACTGATCATGAAGTGCTGGCATACAAAATATACAGTTGTAAGCAGACTGATACATAAGGTGCACATTTTTAATCACACCTGTTTGTTTTATTTATTATTTATTTATTAAATTTGTTTAAAAGCTGCCTGTTAGCACCGTGCTGTCTGGGTGGCCATTACAGTATAAAATCAACAAATAAAATTAATACAATAATACAATTAAAAATAATAAACAAAATAAAATCACAATAAAATGAAAACCAGTTGCATGGAACACTTGTTTTCAGACAACAGCATCTGATTAAATTGCACCTTACTCCAAAATATTAATGTACAGCAGCCTAGTGTGACCAGTATATGTTAAGTGCTGGGGCTCTTTAATTAGCAGGAAAAATCACCCCATTCCTCACCTTCCCTGTTCCCTCTGAGCTTAGGTGCATTTTTGCCCACTTCCTCCACAAAAGTAGATTGTTATGAGCAACTCCTGTTGTAATGCAAAGTATCCTGGGATGGCGAGCAATTTAAACCCAATTTACAAATGGCATGCTTCTGATAAAGAAAATTGATAGAAGTACTTTGCTGACTTTGAGATAGTTTCTTCCTTTTGCTGGGAAAAGAAATGCTTTGGGTGCTTTCAGATAAGATTTGTAGGGTACTATCACCCAACCTCATTCCCAGAATTTAACAGTGGAGGTGGGGTGCGGGAAATTTCCAATATTTTTCTTGGCATCATAACTATGTGAAATATCATAATGAGCACCTGCCTGTCACGATATATCACCACACCACTGCTTCTGATATAGTGGGGCAAGGCAGGGATCCAGTACTGCCCCTATTTAAATGGCAGCGATTATCCAAGTCTTTCTCAATCCTATAACCGGAGATCCTTTTAACACCCAAGGAGTGAATCAGACCCTTTGGATGCAAAGCGTGTACTTGATCGCTGATAGCGTGCTAATTGTTCACTCAAACCCTCTCCTGGTATGACCCCTGGCAAACGAAAAGACAACATCACATACATACTTACCTGGGACTCGTTCCCACAGAACTAAACGAGACATAGTTATGAGAAAATATACAAAGAACATCGCTGTACACTGGTACACAGGAGCATCAGATTTATAAGAAAGAGCTTCTCGGGGTTTGCTTTTAAGGTCTGCGAAACTTGCGATGTTCTGGAACAGGCCACACCTTTCATGTCCACTGTACGGCTACGATGATGAACGGCTGGCCAGGATGACTAGGGGCACCGTATTGCCTCTGTCCCCCTAAACGCGGCGACGGTTTCTTACCAGTAGCAGCTGGTGTAGACGCAAGCGGGCCGGGCGGGCGCGGCTGGTTGATAGGCACCCAGCGCTGCTGCAAGCCCAGGTGCCGGCTGGTCCATTGGGGCCCTTTCTCCGCTAGGAATGGGGACGGGCTAGTGGCCTCATTTCCCCAGGAGCCGCAGCAGCAAAAAGGCTTAGAGGGATTCACAAAGCAGTGGCGTGCACCCTGTGCACCACCCCATGGCGGGGTGAGTTACATGGAACTCCTTCCCCTGGAAACTCGGTTGCATTGCAGTTCCGCGAGGGGCAGAAAAGGGAGCGTGTGCTTCAGCCTCCAGGGAGGGGGGAGGTTTCTGGGAAAGCTCGGCCCTTTGACCCAGAAGCTTTGCACTACAGCTTGTACAATCCTCATCCAGCAGTGCAAGGATGTTTTATTGGAGACACAGGGCAAGAACATCCAAACTCTTCACCATAAATGAATCTGAAAACTGGACAGGGAAGAAAGGTAGCAAGAAGAAAATGGATACATTCGAAACATGGTGCTGGAGGAGAGCTTTGTAAAACCCTGGACTGATGGAAAGACAAACAAATGAGTGCTAGATCAAATCGAGCCTGTGCTTTCCCTAGAAGCAAAAATGACTAAACTGAGGCTGTCATACTTTGGACACATGAGGAGGAGAAGAAAAAAAGAAAGGCCTATATGAGATGGATTGACTCTGTAAGGAAAGCCACAGGCTTGAACTTGGGACAGCTGGATGGAGCTGGCATAGACAGGCAAATTTGGTGGATTTTCATTCATCAGATCACCATAAATTGGAGATGACTTGACAGCACATAACAATTTTTTATGTAAACTGGCATAAGATCCATTGAGGTGGAAATGAAGTGCAGCCCTACAGAAGCATTGCAATTTCAGCTACTGCTCCCTGTTGCTTTAACTGCAGCCTGAGATGCAGAAAGTAACAGGCATGGATTTAGGTGGAGGAAAATATTCCCCTTCTAAGAACAGACATAGACAGGAGAAAAAAGTCCCACGATTCCCAGCATGCCCCAGCCAAGGCTTGTTCGGTTTAAAAATGCATAGGACAAACCTTATGGTTTGTACACAACTAATGTTAGCTTAATTTAAGGGAGTCTTGAGTAGAACTAGCATTAAATGTCTGTATCTCAGAATCTATTTATAAAAACACAGGAGCAGGCCAAGAAAAAAGTTGGTGATGCAAATCAGAGTTAAATAGAGAAGAAAAACTCAGAGATATTTTTGAATGCATAGGTGACAGGCTTGTTGAAAAGCGTGGCAGTTTTAAAATGCAAAATGGAGGGAAAGAGAGTGTTAAAAAAACCCAACGAATTCAATCCAAACTCCAGTTCTTTCTGTTAGCTCTGGTTGCCAATCTGTTTTTCTGCCTTATCCCCTATGTCTTTAAGATAATCGCATGCAGAAATGTAACAGGCCAAGCATTTGCTGGCAAGAAGATAACAAGTGATTGGAGAAGGCCCGCCTTCTCCCCTAAGGGAGCAAGACTTTCAATGGCTTTGCAGTGGGACGTGACCCCTGGGACTGCTTTCCTCTCAGTCAAGGGGAGCCCTCCATTTGGGACGTGAGACTGCCTCGGAGCGCTCCGGGATACGACGCCTTAATCGTAAGCACGGCTTTCTGTCCGTTAATACGCTTTTGGGGAGGACCTGCGGGGGTAGGAAGGGCGAACGAAGGCGAGACTTTTTGGGAAAGTCCCAACCCCCCACTCCCGTAGCACGATCTTATTCCTATCCGTGCTTATTTGGAAGCACGTCCCATTTTGTTCAATAGGTTTCTTCGCAAGTAAGTGCGTAATGGGATTCCCGTGTTAAGCTTCCACTGTTTGGCAAGGGGGAATTGGGATAGGGTGATCTGGAAAACAAATTATTAGTGGTTTGGATCGGTGATAGGAGACTGGGCTGTCCAGATGTTCTCGACTAGAACATTCCTTGAAGGGACATTGGATTGCTTTCCATGCTCAAACGGTAGTATTATCTGGGAAAAGCGATTGTTTCTGCATTGAAAGAGGGGGTGAGCCTTGGACAAGTGGCCTCACAACGTTGCGGGGGAGAAGATGTCCCTTCCCAGCAACTGCAGATTTTCAGCCTGCGTGCTTAATGTACTGCAATCCGAAAGTGCATATTTCCGAGTAACATGCAAAGAATAATGCAGTGTATATGTGGAGGATTTCAGCTTGAATCCTGGGTCAAATTTCCAGTTGTAGTTTATTGCAAAAAAATAGTTGCCCCTTGGTGTATTCACACACCCATCTTAGTTTTTACTAGCAGGTACTAGTGGGGGATTGGCTCTCACAAGCTGATAAAGTATTACGATGCCTTTTAGAGTGCAAACATATACTGGTTTAGACAAAAAGCCCTACAACTCTCAAAATTTTCCAGCCTGCTCTGTGGGGTTTCTGCTGTCGAAGCACGCCTTGGATTCCTCCCACCCCCCCATAGGCAGGATATAAATTAATACTTTCGATACGTGTAGAATTACTTGGAGTAGCATTGTCGACTTAAGTAGTGGTAAGAACTCGCGTGCTCGCGCGCACGTTGCTGTAGGTTACCATTCTGGAATTTGCAAAATTCCTATTTATTTAAAACATTTGTATGCAATGTTTTGTGTTTGCCCTAATGTGTGCATGTTAATGTTAATATTTGCCACAGACACAAACGCACAAAAACGAAAACTTTGTACACGCCCCTAGTTAGCCTAGTGAGCGAATAGTGAGTCTCGCAACCCGTCCTCCGGGAAAACGTACAAGGAAGGCGCGCGATTTGGGGCGCGAAATGTGCGCGTGCCGCCTTAGCAGCTTCGTATTTGAACGCCGCCTGGCAGGAGCAGGAAGCGCCAAGGCAAAACCGCGCGCCCTTCCCGGAGCCAATCGGAGCTTAGCAAAGCTACTCGCTTTCGAGTCCCGGCCGTACCAAAATGTGACATATCGAACATATCGAAGCGTGTCCTTCCGCGCGTGTGGAACTACTTAGGAAGGGGTAGAGTGTGTCCGAGGTAAACTAAGCTCCTTCGCTTTTTGGTAGCAGGAGAGGAGTATTGCTTCGGTCTCTGCGAATAGTGGAGATTCTGTAGTGTCGTGCTTGTGGAGGTGCTGTCGGTGGAGGAGGAAGAGCTGAAGAGCGGAGGGATTCTCGGGGCGGTTGGTGACGCGCCTCTGCCGTTCTGTGGCGCCAGAATTCGGAGCTGAGTGTAAGAAGAAGTTGCTGGTGCGGCTGCCGCTGCCTCCGGGTCCGGCTCACCGCGGCAGGCGGCCATGGTGATGCTTCGGAGCGGTTCGGGCGGTTCTAGCCGGCCCGATTCCCGTCCCGTAGGTGGCGGTCCTTCGGTGGCGGCTGTCTCGGCTACATCCAGCAGCAGTGGCGGTCGCCGGGACGCCCCGCCGGAGACCCCTTACGATGCGATGGAGACGAGCTCCGAGTTCCTCTCCTTGGAGGTCCTGACGCCGCCGTCGGCGCGGAACAAGCGCGGCACGGGAACCCGCTCCTCGGCAGCTGCCGGAGGGAGCCCCACCGCCAGCCGCAGAGCCATGGCGGTGAGTCATGGGGAGATCAAAATGGCAGAGGGGGTGGCGTGGTGAAAGCCCCTTCAGGTGCCAAGAGGCTTCCGGGAGATTCAGGTTCCTATCAGGAGAGGGCGTTCCCGGATGGCAGAAAATATTTTCTGGGAACTTTGTAGCGTTTGGACCTGTTTAGTATCAGCAACAGCTCTGGAAGCAGCTTCCAAGAAAAAAAGTTAACTGTACAATAATTAGACCATAAGGTGCTTAGCAGAAAACCAATCAATCCATTTTATTGATCCAGTCAGTAGGCCTCACAATAAGTTTTACAGAACATTTGGCATACGCAGTAAAATATAAAGCTATCATTAACAGAAGTAAAGGCCCGAAGCAGTCCTAACGATCAAAAAATTGTTCAAACAAAGCAGGGTTCTGTCGATACTTCTTCTGTCCATATTCTCGCTATATTTAGAGGTTACTTACACTTTCTGTAGAAACCAAAAAGAAGTAACTTCGGATGATACAGAAGAATTAATTGATTAGTCGACTCAGTACAAAGATTTTGGTAAAAGTTACAGGGAAAAGGGTTTTGCTGTCTTTTGAACCACAAGGACTATAAAACAGCAATTGTAAAATGGGCAATTAAACAGCAGGAAAAGCAACAGCCACAAAGCTGAAATACAGTTTCTGCAGGCTCAGAATTAGTGTTGGATTTTGCATATTTTAGTGTGGGGCATGCTTCCTTGGAGTAAAGTAGGAGACCTGCTGATTTATTGACACTTACATACTGCTTTATCTACTGAGAAATGACACAGTAATTTAAAGAACAATCAAAAGACAAAAAGAAAAAATGTGTATTAAAACATAATATCAGTGGCCAGGAATCTTTCCATGGTGGTCATCCAGAAGCCCATGGGCTGACCACAGGTAATAGCCATCTCCTGTTTTGTTTTCAGTAGCTTCTTGTCTCTGATCTTGGAGGTTGTTCATGCTGCGATGGCTAATACCCATTGCTGCTCTCCTTGAAATTGTCTTTAGTTTTAAGGATTCAGAGCTTTGGCAAATTCCAAACTAGATAGAAATAGAGTTCTAGGTTTGCATTTCATGAAACAATTCGGGAATGGGGGTGTTTCCGAGTTGTTAATTAAAAATGGAAATGACTGATGAACAGGTTAAGAATGGCTGTCAGGACGGGCAAGACAGGTCAATGTGTTTATCTCTGTGAGCAACTCATTTCCTCAGGCAGCTCGGTAGCCTGCAGCTTCTGATTTCCTGATAAGATGGCTGAGGAATAGTGGTTTGAAAATTAACAGTTGCAAACAGAAATTATTCTATCATACAATTTTGTAGAAAGCCTTCCATTTTTCCAGAAGCATTGTTTCTAAAATCATAAAATAAATTACTAATAAAAGGAATTAATGTAAGTCAGATTGGGAAACTGGAACGGATAGAATACCAATTGACTCTAAAATGAGGGTTATAATTCTTCAACTTAATGGCCTTAGCAAGCACACACATTTACTTACAACTCTTCAGGCATGGTAAAATTTATGGTGTTAAAAAAGTTGTTAATAAGTATGAGAAGACTGTAAATAGCCTTCCAATCAGATTTAAAATGAAAGAGCTAGTTGCTATAAAAAAAAAAGTCTTATCCTTTAAGAAACTTCTTAATTTTTTTTTTCAGAATCTTGAGACTAGCTTTTGGGTGGGTGAATTATAAGAGTTATTAATACCTTTTGCTTCAAATTGTAAACATGTAAGAAAATGTGCAATTGTCATACCTTAAGTACTCAAAATGATTTCTAAGTAAAGCTTTGAATTCATTTGAATATAGTAGGCCATACTAAGTTACTGAATTTTTCTGTTACTAACCACACATTTCAATTCAACTGCACTGTTCTATTGCGAAAAAAAAATCAGCTATTTACATAGCAAGAAAAATAAACATTGCACTTAGTAAAGAAAGCCAGAAAGTGAAATATGCTAACTTATATCTTCAGTAATTTATAGCAGAAGTATCAAGAAAACCCATGTTGCTTGCTTGCTGATTAACTAAACTATTAACAACTAAAAATAATGTTTATTGGTTCTTTTTGTTAAAGTGTATTTGCTAAGTGATTTTTACCTGTTGATTTTGTGTTTCTCATAACTACTACAATAATCTCTGACTTGAGAGGCAGATGATTATGTAATAACTTTCTAATTCAGCTTATGTGCTGTTGAATGATTTCTGAATTATGACCGTATGACTGAAAGCCCTCCAAATAATCTGTCTTTCACAGCCCTGCTCTGCCCTAAATTCAAGGCTGTGTCTTCCTTTATTAAATTGATCCATCTCATTTTCTTCTCTTCCTGCCTTTCCCTTAACATGATTGTCCTCTCATGATGTGTCTAAAAAATGACAGCCTCTGTTTTGTCATTTTTGCTTCTAGGAAGTGCTGCCTTAATTTGATCTAGGCCCACTTGTTAGTTTTTGTGTTGGTCTGGGGAATTTGTAGAGCTCTCATCAGAGCACTGTGTTTTGATCATATTCATTTTCTGCCTGTCAGCTTTCTCACCCATACCTAGTGATTGAAAATAAATGGAATGCTCTTGGTCTTAGTCTCCAATGGAACACCCTTACACTTGATTATCTTTTCTAGCAATTTCATTGCTGCCCTTCCAAGTCTCAGTCATCTTTGAATTTCTTAGCTGCAGTCTCCCTTTGTATTGATGACTGAGCCAAGGTATGCAAAGTCTTTCACAATTCCTAAGTATCTCTTCATTGTTGACAATAAAGTTGTGTCATTCTTCTGAAGTCATGATTTTGTTGTCTTATTGTTCACTTGCCATCCCACTTTCACACTTTCATCAGGAGTTGTTTCAATTAATTGCTGCTTTTTGCCTGTAAGATGGCATCATTTCCATATCTTAAATTATTGATGTTTCTTCCATCAAGTTTCATTACTTTGATCTTAATCCATCTTTCCTTATAATATGCACTGTGTACAGGTTGAATAGATAAGGAGATAAAATACACCTTTGTCTGACACTTCTCCCTATAGAGAACCATTCTGTCTCTATTTTTTCTTAAACAGTAGCTTCTTGTCCATAATACAAATAAGTGCTGAGGCATCCTCCATCTATTTCAGGACCATCCACAGCCTCTTAAAATCCACACAGTCAAAGGTTTTGCTGTAGTCTATCAGGCATTGACTAGTTTAGTTATTCTCCCACTGTATCTCAGCATACTACCATGCATGTTAATATACTGCCACTTTTACAGCCTACTTGAGTTTAGTAAGTAAGCTCAGTATGGTTGACTGCTTTATTTAATAGTACAAAACATTCTGCAACTGATCTCTTACTGAATAGCCCTGCTAGTCCCTGTTCAGTTAACAAGTATTTTTCAAATAGGACAGTGGCCTTGCTTTCCAGCATATGTGTGCTGATACTGTCCAAAATGTGGCAAATATTTGCCACTCAAATTAATAACAGATTTGAAACAACCCAAGTGAAAGACTGTTTTCACATAAAGCACAAGTGACCTCTTTAATTTACTGTATAATTCCATAAAAGTTAGGGTTAGGACCATCTGCAACTGCTAGAAAAATCTCTGGATTGTATTCCTCCAGTGAATTTATCTAACGTTTGAAACAAGAAATAGGTTGACTGCGCTATTGGGTGATTTCTTATGTAAAATAGTAATTTACAGCCTCTAAATAACTTGGACCCAAGTTCAGTTTGTTTTTGTGATAGTCTTTTTATTTATTTGTATCTAACATGACAGCTAGAGTCATTAGAAAGGTACTAGGTCCTAAACTGGTTATTTGCTTTCAAGAATTAATTGATACTGCTGAAGCTCAGGGCGAAATAGCCCCTGAAATTTATATTTTTTTTTCATTTATCACCAAGCAGGTAGCTATGGTTTCTTATGAATTTAGGAATACTGTTGGGCAGTGAAAGTGGAGAACATTAGGCAGAGTTTGAGTTCTTGTATTTTTTCAGTTGGGTCAGGGTGCTTACCATTAAGGTGAGACAGCAGAGAGTATACTGTCCCCCACTGTATCACATGGTGATGGACCTAGCCTGTCCTGTTCTTTACTTCTATAAAATGTCCCCAAATTATCAGTCTTTTCCCCCCTACATTGTTTTTGGGAATAGTGCTTCATCATTATGTATTGTCATTCCCAATGGAATATTTTATAGGTTTATAGATTGTGATGGGCATTTCTTTGAAGCTCCATTGTGACTTGAAATGAAGACAAAACTTGATCCATCTTAAGAGGTTAGTCTTTGTCTTCGTAGTATACTTTACTCCTCAACTGAAAAGAGTAGGATTTGTCCCCCCCGCCCCCAAATAAGGGATGTTTTTGCTTGTCCATTTTGCCTACTTCCAACTCTACCCTTGCATGAAAGTGCCCCAAATGATCACTGTTAATATGACCCAGGTGTGGTTTAAAAAAATGGCAACAAAGAACATTCTTGGGTAATACAACCTTAGAAGGTTTGCAGATCAATTTTATCTTGCTAGTTTCAACTTTATCAACTTTTAATCAAAAATATATTAGTTTGCCGATAAGAAAAAATCAAGGCGCCTGCTTGAGGTTGCATCCTTAGATCACTAGAGAATAGAGAGGTCACTAAATTTAAATCTCTTGTTCAAACAGTGCTGCTTTTATTGCCTTTTCTTTACTTCAGTAAGTGATAGGCATATTGAATTCAGAGTTTATATGAAAAAATGAGAATATTAGATGCAGCAGGTCTGGGACATTGTTTCTAAATAATACTATATGCTTGTGTCCCTAATTGTTTTTGCTTGTACTTCTTCAGGAGTTTCCGTCAGACAAAGAATGTCAGCATTTTACAAGACACTCCTTAAGATCTATGAGGAAAAATAATCAACATTATTCAAACTCTAGTTTTGAGAAGAGAATGGCAATGTTGAGTGAGAATGGTATTAACAGGAAACATTTTACAAGGTAATTTTTTTTTCTTCTTACAAATCAATTGGTTACATCATGTTATGTTTTACCTCAATTGCTTGTAGCCCACTTTGGTAACAGAATCTACATTCTAAGTATCAGTGCAAAATTTTATCATATTTGTGTTTTACTGTACTCTGTGGCAAAGAAAAAATAATGTTAAGGATCTGACAGAGGTGCTGCAGTAGATGTAGAAGAGCACATGTCTATAGAAACAACTGTGAACCCTATTGTGCTGAATGACATTTGTATCTTTGGAAATTGGTAGAGTGGATTATTTCAGGAGAAACAATGCTATAATAACGACTGTTGACTGGGAGATGCTGGGAGTTGTAATCCAATGCATTTGCGGGGCACCAGATTAGGGAAGATTGTGTTACCATCACATGAAAAAGTGATAATGGATAATGTACTGCAAAATGCAAATGAAGAGTATGTAACCTAACTACAAAGATTTCACAGAACTCATTTAAGTAATGAAAAATGCATACATTTTCTTTGTAGGTGAAGCTGCAGAAATGTGAAATCACTGTTTTATCTCTCTCAAGAGAGAGGGTGGTAAGCCAAATATTTCAAAAACAAAACAAAAAAAACCCTACTAGGTATACCATGGTATCGAAAAAAGGAATTGAAGATGAACTGTTGCAACTAGTAAATCTGATAAACAACATCCCCTCTGAAAATGAGAAATATGCCACCTATATACTGTAGATAAAGGATTACCTGCCCAAACAAAGTATTAAAATGGTGTGAAATATGTTAGATCTCCAGTTACTGTAATTAAGTTGGCAATTGTACCAACTTCAGTTACTGGATGATATAGAAATTAAACATGTATGTGCACACAATTGTAGGTGCTATAGGGCAGCAGTATAGGACATGCCATATTCAAATTGGAAATTATCCCTTTAAGAGGATGAACCTATCTTCTGTCAATGTAATCCTCCTTTTGGGCATGTAATCTTTTTTAATGGCATATTGATGGCATTTTTCTGATTTTAGAGGGAAGCTTTTTTCTCGAGTTCTGTTTCTTGGGTTAATGACTTGTGCTACAATGATCTAATTTGACTATAAAATACATCTCAAATTTCTTGTCTGGATATCAGTTATATATAGACAGAAGACAGCTGTGTTTTCCAACTTAAAAATAGGATGGCACAGCAGGGTAATATAACATAAGATTTCGTAGCAGCTCAAAAAACCTGATCATTTAAAAAGGTGGTCATTTTTTAACATCTGGGAAAAAATAAAATAATTTTTCTCCATAATTTGTATTTGTAGTTATTTTTGTTGGGTTGGCAGTTTTCAAGGCTTTGTAGGATAATTTTTGTTGAGTTGCGAATTTATTAAAGCGAATTTATTTAGGAAAGTGTGTGTCTGAAACCAAAATGATGTCAAAGTAGGTGCCAGCAAGCCTCCCTCAGAAGGACATTACACAGGTAGGGAGCCACCACTGAAATACTTGCTTTCAGTTTATCTGCATTGCATCCAATGTCAGGGATGCCCAGAGAACTGCAACAATTGTAGATGAATTTGACTGGATATGGTGTAGTAGATGCTGAGTTGTAAGACAAGTAATACTTTATAACGGAAGTGCCAGCACTTTCAGTTTGACTAGGAACTGAATGAGAGAGCCACTTAAGTTGTTTTGAAACAGGTGTGATGTAATCCCATTATTATTTCATTGTATTTATATCCTACCTTTTTGCCACTTGGAGGACCCCAAGGCAACTTACATAGCCCCATTTTTCCTCACGACAGCAACCCTGTGAGATAACTTGGGATGAATTCTGTGCATGGCCCTAAGTCACCCAGTGAGATTCATGGGGACTGAGTGCGGACTACAACCCAGATCATTGGGGTCCCCAGTCCAATATCCTAACCGCTACATCACACTGATTGTCAGGCTAGTCTAATAGCTGCATTCTGATTGGAGCCTTTTGACTATCTTCAGAGATAGTCCATGTGCAGGAATAACTCTGTCTAGGAGAGGATGTGATTAGTGTTTTAATAGCTGATTGCATAACTGAGGACTGCCATTAAGATGACCCTCCTTATTGCCTCTTTCCAGGCCTCCTTTGGAATTGGCAGTTGGAGGAAAGTCCCAGAAAGTTTACAACTTTACAGATTTCAAAGCATTTAACTTTAAAATAGTTTAAGCACCACTTGTGATCAGTACATACCAGGGATTGGTACTGTATAGTCTTGCAGAAGTTATTGGACTGCAGTTGCAGTCATCCCTCAACGTTTGCTGTGCTGGCTACAGCTGAATTATCGTCCAACTGCTTCTAGAGAACAGCATATTCCCATCCCTGCTGTATACTAATGGTTAACTTAGTTCTGAATGCTGCTGCTGTACAAGAGGGAATAATCTGCAGGCTTGGTTTGCATTGCAGAAATAGGTAGCATCCTTCTCTAAGGGAATGCTTAATCCCCAAAACAGTTCTGTGAAGACTGAGCATAATCAATTGACCCAGAATATTGGTTGATGGGTGCAGTGGGAGAATGAAATAGAATTTCCTGAAAGAGAGCATGATAGGCTAAACTGAAAATAGCAACAACAGCTCTGTGCCATTTTGTTGCAGGTATCACTTTTTTTTTTCTCCAAATGCTGAATCCATACTTCATATGGAACCATAGTTCTAGCACTGTCCCCAAAAAACATGATAAATAAATTGTTAGATTGTAAGAATTTTCCTATGTATTTTCTTGTATGCAGGCAGCTGGCTAGACTCCAGGCTAGCAGAGAAAATGAAGATTGTGAAGAAGGTAACTGTTAAAATACCAATTTTGTTAATGGTAGAAATGTCAAGTTGTTGAAGGGTCCAGTGGACCAGTGAGTCTATCCCATCTTCAGACCTAGAAAGACATACCTTTTACATAATGACTGATGTTTGTCTGGCCCTGCAGTGAAGATCTGAGTGAAAAGAACTCCATTAGTGTTCATAAGTACCTTGCTCTTTTCAATCAAGAAGGGTTTCAACAGTCCCCTGTTTCTTTTTTTTTCATTCTTGGTCAACAAGATAAATGAATGTGCTCTTCTACTTCAGGCACTATGATGATGATGATGAACTTGAGGTGGCTTAGAAGGTTCTTCTCTGCACCATTTTATTCTCACAACAACATTGCTGTGAGGTGGATTAGTTTGAGAGTATGTGAACAGCCCAGTCATTCACTCAGCTCAGTCTGAGTTCTAGTCAAAGACTAATATACTACATTGTACTGAGCTTGTAGAAGTGACTCAAGGAACTATGTTTGCAATTCTGAGAGGGAATTTGTCAGTTTGGTTGGCAGGTAAACTTGACATTGGCAGACTTAAGTACAGAGATTATTGGAAATAGAAGAGCCCAGAAGTAAGGGTGTATTATAGGAAGGAAAGGTGGACAGTAAGGCTTTGCAGGGAAGGAACAGAAAAAGCTGGAAACTGGGGTGAGAAAGTATTGTTGCAGAGAAACAAGTTCATAAAGTTTTGGACTAGATGTACAGGAGGAGCATGAGTAGAATGCTGATGAAGAGACAGGATAGCCAAAGAAGGTGGGGCAATTTATGCTGGGTCTGAAGATCAAAAACCGAAGGAAAGAATAGGTTGTGGAAATACAGAGCTGATGCGAGTAGGACTAAGGAGAAAATGGGAAAGAATGACTAGGGATGTCTGCTAACAGTGAATAAGAAGTGGTTAGATAAAGGGCATTTGGGGAGCTAGGGGCTGAGGGAAAGGGTTGATAGAGTTCTGGTTTAGACTGACATGGAATTCTTCCAGGTATTAATTTTTGTTTCTGCAATACTTTGACCTGTAGGTTGAAAGGGCAGTGTATATGTTTTAATCCTTGTTTTAACCTTAACTAATGTAGCTGCTAGTTTAAAATGTTGTTGTAAAAATTTTGTTGTAAAAATTGTTGTAAAAATTTTAGCTCTTTTGTAAATCAAGTTATCAAAGGATTTACAATTAGGATATCAAATGATGTCTGTTCCTCCAACATTGTCTACTGAATTAAGTGTAGTCTGAAATTACATCATTGTGTATCCAGAGAGCAATAATTTAATGCCATCTGCTAAGTTTTTTTGGGGGGAGGCATTTGAATAACATTCTGTCTCATGATATTGTATCCCTATATTCTGTTGATTTAGTATTCCAGTAATATAATCTGTCTGGTTGTGGAATAATTGATAATGACTAGTAGTTCTGTTTTAGACTTAACAAAAAAATGTAATTTGATCAAATTGGAAAGCAGTGCCTTAAGCCAATTGAACAAGGTGGGGGGTGGGGGAGCAAGCACAGGACCTTTAATGAAACTGAGGATTAAGGTCATCTTAATGATTATAAAGAAGCGCACAATATCGTGCTATCTTGATTTAAAGAAATATTATTTTTGTTCAGATAAGTTCTGTGCTTTTCTTCTTTACCTGGACCAAAATACAGGGGCTTGGAACTGAAACTTCCTGGTTTGTCCCAGAAAGGCACTTCCGCTCAGGCTAGATAGCCATCACCCTCCCAATCCTCCCATCTCATACCATTTCAGAAGGTCCCTTTATACTTCAGCACAGCTTGTGGGACACAGTCCAGAAGGCTTCAGTGGGAAGAACGGGCTAAAAAAGTCCTGCTGTGCAAGGAGTATTTTAACTAGACTCCTCTGGATTCAGTCCAGGTTCTTCAGATTTTAAGGTGGCTTTGATACTACATTTTCTTTTTTCATCATGGAAACAACTGTTCCAAGATTTGATTCAGCTTTGTTCCTAGAAGCATTTTCCAAGTATGATACATTTTTCTGTTTTTAAGAACATAGCATAAACTGATATGAAGGCATATGTATTATGGGAAGTATCCAGGGTGTTCTTGCTATACATAGGCTAAACTAGTCATCCTACATGTTTGTAAAACAGCTGTATACTCTAAGGAATAATATGAAAAAACTCAGTTCTTTATGTTAGTAGACCTGTAAAGATGCTTTGCTTTAAAACTTAGGAACTGCTGTAGCTCCTGTCACAAGGTCGCTGAACAAAGGAATAAATACAAAGCCTGCTGAACATGTTGCAGAAGAAAACGGGGATGTTGAAGTCCGTCGCAGTTGCAGAATTAGGCGAAGCCGCTATAGCACCATGAACCAATCAGTTTTGTTTGACAAGCTTATTACAAAGTAAGATTTGATTTCCTCTATAAAGTCTAAATTTCCCAAACTGAATGAGCATTAAAAAAGAAGAAACTATCTGAACTCTTAAAAGTCCCAGCCATGCACCTAACATTTTGCTAATGCATGAAACCTTTGCTGTCTTTTCATTTCTAATTGCAGCCTCCATACATTGTGTAATATGACATACACTTGGAACAACTTTTCAGGGAATAAAAGAGTATTCATTGGAAGTGAGAGCTGAAAAAGTTGTAGTGAATTTTTGGGGCCCCTTTTGTATTGTAGCCTAGGTGTATTGCTTCTAAAATAATGCATTTAAATCTTAGTGCTAAATACAAGGAAATATTCTATTTACTATTTATAAGTCTATTTAAAAGTTCATGCCCAGTTTCCTCACTAAGTTCCCAGAAACTTTAATGCTCTTAGTTTATTGTTAAACTACTGCTTTCAGTCTGGTAAATGTGCCATGTTCACAGAAAATGATTTCTGAAATCTAGATTTTATCTGCTTGATGCTCTGTAGTGTTTCAGAGGTCTTTTTAATTTTTTTATAGTAAAATATTTTTTAAAAATAATCTTTTGGGGAGGTTTCCCCGCAGTCTGTGTGAGTAGGGCCAGAAATGTGCTCCAGACCTCCCAAAGCTGTTCACTTCTGTCATCCACAATGTATTAGATATTGATGAATTTAACTCATCAAACATTTTTCATATGCCATTTAATTACATCATCAGCACAGCAGAAGCTGTACTACAAAAAATGGATGATATGAAGAAGATGCGCCGGCGCCGGATGATGGATTTGGAAGACCTTGGTGTGTTCAATGACAGAGAGGAGGTAAGAGCATATTGAGATTGTGTAAAGAGCCATATTACTGGATTCTAGTTTTGCTTTATTAAATATGGAGCTTGTAGATTACCTCTTCTTTTGATCCAATGTGAGCCATGTGGTTATTGAATGCTTAAATGTCTGCATTTGTTTAATAGGAGAGGGCTGGGGGTTTTTTAGAAATGGCCTTGAAACTTTCTTATGAATGTACACTGATCTTACTCTATGTGTGAAGTATGGTGTTTTGAATGACATAGTGTTCTCTTTCTTTATTTCTAGGAAAATCTTGATGTGTACTCAAGGGGGAAACCAAAAAGAACAATACAAAGAACTGATGAAGAAACCACTGATAACCAGGATGGAAGTGCAGGTTATTTTTAACATATTTATTATATTTATATCCCACTATTTTCCTGGAAGGAATCCAAGGTGAGTTTACAGAATCCTCTGCCTCTCCATTTTATCCTCACAACAGTGCTGTGAGGTAGGATACTCTGAGAGTCTGTGACTAGCTCAAATGAGTCATTCAGTGAGCTTCATAGCTGAAACGGGGATAGGACCTGGAACTCTTGAGCCCTAGTCCAACACTCTGATCTATACCACTGTTGTGCAACTTGTATTTTTTAGACTCCTGGTTTATGGCTTAAATGTTTGTACATTTAGCTATTTTGTGAATTTTCCTTGGATTACTTTTGTTGCTGTTTTTCTGTAGTATAAGGATCTGTGCATTGTTTAGAGATTTTATTATTTAGTTAGGCACCAATTTCTCACCAGCTGAAGATGGAAAGAATAACTCGAGCTGCATATCAGCAGTGTATTCATGGTCATATACTCCAAAATTCTGGATGATCCCACTGAACAGTTTCATGTTAACATTGAATAGTATGAGGGAGCAAGACAGATTCCTGAACCCCATACTAGAGAGTCTGTGGGGCCAAGCAGTATTCCCCAAGCACTACCTTTTGGAGGTGACTTTCTAAGTAGGAGAACTGAACCACTTCACCTTCACCTTCATTCCCAACTCAACCCGATGCCCCAGGGGGATACCATGATCTACGGTATCAAAAGCTGCTGAGAGGTCCAGAAGAATGAACAGGGTCACACTCCCCTGTCTCTTCCTACATACGTCATCATATGAGGTGACCAAAGTTGTTTTCTTGCCAAATCCAAGCTTGAATCCCAACTGAAATGGATCCAAATAACATTAGACTGTCCTGATGAGAAATTTAAAAATGCCATGGTGATACTTGCTCCCAGAAATGTATCCATTTAATCCAATCCTGGAGTGATTTATTAGTAAGTCATTGAATTTAGTGGGTTTTTCCTTCTGAGTAGACATTTATTGGGCTTTTCCTGTTTCATCCTCTATTTTAAAGAAAATTTAAGTAGAAAAAAATGTGTAATAATTATTACTTTACGTATGCTACCATGAATCCCAGATTGGCAATATAGCACTCAGAACTACTATTTACACACCTAGATTTGCTATAAGTTGGTCTACCCCAATCTCCTCAAATGTTTCAGATTTTAACTCTAGCCAGCAAGGCCAATGGTTAGGAATGCTAGGAGCTGTGCTTCAAAATTATCCGATTGTCGAGGAAGGCTGTAATAACTGCATTTATTTTTAAACTAAAGAAATCTATTCTTTGTTAATTAGAATCATCGGAAGAAGGTGAAGACCAAGAAGATGAAGATGGAGAAGATAATCAAAAGCGCTATGACCTTCGTCAGCGAAAAACTGTTGTGCGCTATCAGGCCTCACCAGAAAGTAGGTATCTTCTGTTTTTATAAAGGCATAATTTGTCTGTGGCTGTAAATGTTACACTTGTAAATCACTGTTCTTTTTATAATTCACTGCCTGTTTGTTTTATCATCTTTGCCATACAGTTAAGCACCCTTTCATTAACTGACATTTCAACCGATAAGGAATAGCTTTAATTTCTGTGAATCTGTCATGGTTTGAAGGAATTAAAAGACTTCACTCATAAATTAATAAGCTCAGTTCAGCACCAAACTAAGCAAAAATATGTGCTGTTCCTGTATTTTGATTCTTTGTACAACATTTTAAAAACAAAATGTTCATTGTTTTTATAGAACCTAGACACCAAAGGAAACCCAAATTATTCTACCCTGATGCATCCTCCCCAGCCAGAGGAAGATTTTCCTTTAGCCCTGCAGGACCAAGGAGCCCTTACTGTAAAAAGATAAACAGGTGTGTTGCTTTTTCTAACACTCTAGTATTAATGCTTGAGATGTCTTCTGAATTACTCAGAAGTACAATAGGTTTTGTAGTTGCAGATCAAATGATCTCTTAGCTATACTTTGCTTACTTGTTGTGTAAGTACAGTTACAGTAGGTTAAGGAATGTGCAGGCAACATTTTGAATATATAACACCCACTTGGGTGTGCTGGGTTGTACATACTTGACCACTGAGGGTTATTTGCATGATCCTTGCATGACCCTTGGTGCTTGGGTTCACATTACAGAGCAGCTCCTACGTGGGGCTAAGTTGCTCATGTGAGCCACAGTTCACAGTAGTTTAATCCATGATAAGCTGCAGCAACTCTTCACAGCTCTGCACATTTGCTCAGTCTTCACTGTATGAAACCAAGGGCTGTTCAAAGCTTGCAAATCTCGTTCTGTTTGTTCTTGTTGCAACTAAGGAAGTTTATGTCTATTGGCTTTAATGTGCCCCTACCTATAAAAGCAAGTGATTAAAACAAATGTATATGTGTTTTTCTTAAGCTTTTCTGCATCATTTGATAATGAAGTCAAGCTATTGCAAACTCTGGATTAGTTTAGAGTGTGATGGTATCTGTACTGAAAAGGGGCTGTGGAAGGTTTATACTATCAATTTGTTCTAGTTTTCTGTTGTCTGTAAGACCAGTTCATACTGTTGGTTTTGACTAAAAGCCTTAAGGATGCAACCTTACTCATGTTTATACTGAGTATAGGGCTGTAATTCCCAGTATTATCCAAAAGTTGTCCGTGACATGGTATGAATTTAAGATTTTTTTTCCTATCAATACATACATAAGATTGCACTCTAAATAGCTTAACTTTAACATATGTCAGGAAGGAGTTAATCTCTTTTTTAATATTTTAAAAAGCACAAGGGATTCTGTACTGTGTTCCCTTGCAACAGTAGTGATTTTGATGCAAGCACAGTGGTCTCAGTAGGTCCTTCCCTCATAATTGGTTTGGGGAGATGACCACTAATGATGTAAGACTTCCTAAAGAAGGCTTATGTGCTCTAAATAATTTCAGGAGGGAATAAGTCAGTGTATTTGCCTAACTGGGACTATTGGGACGATTGGTCTCAGCAAAGGTACTGGGGAAACAGACCTTGTGGTTGTCTATAGTTTTGAGAATTAACATTTCTTCTGTGTTCTATCTTTGACTTTGTTTCTTCGTACTTAAACATGAACAATAAATTATTCAGTAATAGGAAGATACTATGTAGAATGCAAATGGGTATCCTAGTTTTTCAACTATGGTGACATTGTCGTGTCTGTGCATTTCATCATAGTTCTCTTCAGTGATTCCATTGCTGGCTGTTTTATTGTGTATGTTTTAAGACATGCTGATATATACATTACAAGTTCTCATTATATTCTGTTGTCATCCTTTTCTTGGTTTTTGAGTGCAGCCTCCCTGCCCCCAAGCTTGGGGTGACACTTTTCTTAGAAAGGGATGGCCTGAGACTTATTCAGGCTTAGATTAGATTCATTCAAAATGAAGGTACAAGTTAGCCATAACTTGTCCTATTCATTTCAGTAGGTCTTTTCAACAAATAAGTCTGGATGCAAAGACAAGATGTATGCTGAAAATATTTCTCTCTAGGGACCAACCCCTACATCCTTCTTCTTCCCCTTTACCCATCCAGCAGATCCTCATGTGGCATTCCCACTTTGCTAATATAAAAAATGAGTTGTAGTGGACTCCAGAGGATGGTGGAGGAAAGGCAGGCCTGGAGGAGTGTTGTCCATGGGGTCACGAACAGTTGGACACGACTTCGCAACTAGCAACAACAACAAAAGATGCCTTTACTGTCTGTGAACTAATTGTGCCATGCAGTTAGAGTACATGCTTGCTTACTTGTGATTATCTTTAAAACAGGCGAAAACATGCAATTCATAACAGTGATTCTACATCATCGTCATCATCATCAGATGATGAACAGCGTTTTGAGAGGCGTAGGAAAAGAAGTCGGAACAAAGCATTAAGCAGGTATCCTACTTGAGTACTGATATGCTGAATCTGGTTGGAGTTGTGTAAAATATTGTTAATGAGACCTCAGTTATATGTATCCTATTCTGTGGGGGTACTGTACTCGTGGTTGGGCAACTGGTTTTTGTTCAGCTAATGGGAATTACACTGTATTTTATAGTTAAAGCATTTACAAAATTGTATTAACTGACTATAATACTGATTTCTGTCTTTTTTCTCTAATTTTCAACAATTCTTGATTCCTGTATTAGGTGCCTTCCACTAAATTTTAGGAAAGATGAATTAAAGGGAATCCACAAAGATCGAATGAAAATTGGAGCAAGCCTGGCTGATGTTGATCCAATGCAAATAGACTCTAAAGTAAGCATCTCAAGATCTTGAGTAAACTTTCTTTGTTATTGAACCCTTCCCTTAAAATAAGCACAACTCCTGAATACCAAATTTTTGGCTATTATATTTTCTATCTTTTTTAATGACTTCTCCATTTGTCAATGTTTCTTCTCCTACCTTAGGTACAATTTGATAGTGTGGGTGGACTCTCTAGCCATATTTCAGCTCTAAAGGAGATGGTGGTTTTCCCACTGCTCTATCCAGAAGTGTTTGAGAGGTTCAAAATTCAGCCTCCAAGGTAGCATATAAATACACATTTTGTTTCTAGGATATTAGTCAACCTTAGGAAAATATCATACTTGTAACTTGATATTTTGCTAGTTGTTTGAACCTTTTATCCAATATTACTTTTATATATTTAGCTATCAATTCTGTATAGATATACCATGTTTATAACTAAGTGTTAAGAAAATGCTTGTGTTCTTTTTGTCACAATTAGGAAAATAGGGAAATGCACTTAGATTATATGCATACATAAAATGATATCTGTGTATAAGAACTGAAAATGCCTTTGAATTGAAGCTTATTTTTGTGTGAAGGGATAAGATATTCTGAAAAGTCAGCAAAAATATTATTCTGCAACTGCATCTGCTGCCCAATTATGACAATTGTTCTAAGCTGTGTACAGAGTGCAAATAAACTAAAAGTCAAATTAACAATAAAGGAAATTTAAAAGCAGCAATTTAAAAAGTCAGATGAAAATAAATCACAAACAGCAAGATATTAAGACTTTGCAATAACAGTTAAATATGTTTGCAATGTAAGAATTGTTTGAAACAGATCCTACAAATTACAGTTTTAATATTTGTTTGTTTGTTTGTTCATTTGTTTATACATGTGTTTCTAGGCTGCCTATAATTGCTGAAGCCATCCTAGGTGGCTTGAAATAATACCTATTTCTAATAAACCCTAACTCTTCAAGAAAATTTGATCAATCATACTGAAGATCAAGTCTTGCAGATGAAATCAACATGGCTCATGGAAAGTTATTTAAAATCATACAACAATTAGGTGTAATGTGCTATGCTTTTGAGATGCTGAAGCCATTTTGATAATCACAAAATTGTAAATTCCCATTTTTATAGGGGCTGCCTCTTCTATGGTCCACCAGGTACTGGAAAAACTCTTGTTGCCAGGGCACTTGCTAATGAGTGCAGTCAAGGTGACAGGAGAATAGCATTTTTCATGAGAAAAGGTGCGGACTGCCTTAGTAAATGGGTGGGAGAATCTGAACGACAACTCCGACTGTTATTTGATCAGGTAATTTTGTTTTCTCTATCTCTGTGCTGAGTTTTCTGTTTCTATTTCATTACTTACTCATTTGAGCTTTCCTTGCAGGCCTTTCAGCTGCGTCCTTCAATTATATTCTTTGATGAAATTGATGGTCTTGCTCCGGTACGGTCCAGTAGGCAAGATCAAATTCACAGGTAGGAGTTAGATATTTAAAGGCTGTTTTTAAAATTTGCCCGAGCTTTAAATAATACTTAATGTAAATTGGATTTCATAAATTTAGACTGTTAGACGTGGGTAGACTCATCTTAGTTCTATTCTGTTTGTGGAAAGTTAAGATAAAATCAGAACGAATTAATACAATTTCATGCTGAAATGTGCTTAGCTTGTGTTCCAAGGAACTTTTTTCAGCTCAGTATATTTCTCCCTTCTAAAACTGTTCTGAAGAGTAATTTGCGGTGTAATTTCTTGTATTTTCAAGTTACTTGTTTGCTTAAGGAAGATTCATTGTAATGCATTTTTTTGTCTACAGAGCTGCTGGAACAAACATGTATTTTATTGTAAAACACTGACCTGATTCATATGACATGCTGGGTTCACTGTGATTTTTTTCCATGATGAGGCATGTGTGTGGATGCTGTTATAAATACACCATCTCTGATGGGCTTGCAGTGTCGTCCAAAGGTTATTTGTGGGTGAAAAAACACTTGCATAATCCTTGGTTTGTAGAAGGGTTATGTGTGGATTGTTTAAAACTTGAATAACCCACACTGACTGGGTTCATATGGCACTCCACGTTCATATGGGTGGGCTGCACACACCTGGTATGCAACACAGCTCATCATGGGTTAAACAACCCACAGTGCATCCAGCGTGTCATTTAAACTGGCACACTATTTTCAGTTTAAAGAGATTTGCTAAGTTGAAAGCAAGTTAATTGCTGAAGTAGCCATGTCACAGGTACTCTGTGTTTTGTTTGGATATGGTATGTCTTGAAATTTCTTAATATTTCCCTTTGGGTATGTAATGTTGCTACCAGGAATTTAATTCCAATCTTAATTAACTTTTCTCTCAATAACTGTGTCCAGGCTATAAGGCTCCTTCATTGGACTATGTGGTCCTAAGGATGAGACATTGGTACTCAAACGACCTAGGACTCTGAGTTAACAATAAACAAAATTTTATTTGTACAAGAAGTATATTGGCTTCAAAATGTTAAGTAACTTATTTCCATAAGAGTAGAACAATGTATAATAACAATTTCAGGCTCACTCTTTCCCTTCACAAATAAACACAGTTCCTCCTTTCTCTCCTGCACTCAGGTTTCTGTCAGCTTCTATCTCTCACACACTTATAAAACTTGACAATTATACTAAGACTGTTGCCCTCAGAGATGCACTTGGTGGCATAACAAAAGAGGTCTTCTCAGTGGCCAATCCCAGGCTGTGAAATTCCCTACTGAAGAAAGCTATGTTTGCTTTCTCTCTGTTATCCTTTCGGCAAGAAACAAAAACCTTTATATTCAAGCGGGTCTTTGATGTATGTTGGTTTGTTGGCTTGGATGATGATTTTCTGTTGCTCTTATGTATTTAATTGTGTTTTAATTTATTTGTCTTGTTAGTGTTTTACAATCACAAATAAAACTTGACCAAGTTTCCTTGAATACAACTTTTATTGGTTAAAAGATGGGATTCAAATCAAACTGAATTACATGTTACCTCTATTACATGATGACTGGATCCTATGCTACAGCAAGAATTTTAAACATTGTAACCAAATAGCCTGTTTGGTCAGTATTGCTAGCCCTTGAGGATGTGTTGCTCTGACCTGATTGTGTGGTTCTGTCTGTTCTGCATGAGTAAATTGGCTCGCAGAAGTTATTTTGAGTTTAATAGGAACATATATACTAGTGAGTGGGGGTGGGTTCTTGCCAAAATTCCTTGTTTATAGAAACTTCCCAACAAGGCCTTTGTGTGAACTAGTTTTCTGATTTCCTTTCCTCCTTGTCCTTCCTCACATAGAATCATAGAATAGTAGAGTTGGAAGGGGCCAGGTTTTCATAAGCACTGTGAACTACAGATGAGAATAGTTGGAATGGTCTTTCACTTGAAAGGATATTTGAATCCAGCCCACAAAATTGATAACTTTGTTTTTGCTTTAAGTTCAATTGTGTCAACTTTGCTTGCTCTGATGGATGGCTTAGACAGCAGAGGTGAAATTGTGGTGATTGGAGCTACCAATAGACTGGATTCTATAGATCCTGCTTTGAGAAGGCCTGGACGTTTTGATAGAGAATTCCTCTTCACCTTACCAGATAAAGATGTAAGAAATTCTTTTATGGATACTAGAACAGCCTTTTGACTTAGCAATTAAAACAATTTGGGATTGGGAAGCCAATTTGCTTGTTTAAACAGAAGTTCACAATATGCTAAAGGAAGGTGAGTGTAAAGAGAAGCTAGATCATATGAACAGCATGGGTGTAGATATGTGGCATTCCCTTTCTGTTATCTCCTAATACCCCTTCAGCATGATCCCAAGTGCATTAGATTGGAAAAGGTTTCATTATAATCAATGAACTAGTTCTCTGTATTGAATCTTAAGCTGACCTGTGGGAAGCTGGAAGATGTTGGATTTAAATCTAAATCAGCATAGGATTGCAAGTTAAATTATTTTAACGCCCTTGTACTCAAGTTTTGAATTCCTCAGAAAGACATTTCACTAAGATCTTGCATCTTAGAAAATATTGATACGGATAAAAGAAATTAACAGTAACATGAGAAGAATCCTAGTGTATCCTACACTGACCAACTTGGAAACCTACAAGAGGGACCATACAGGCAATTGAAATATGTCTCTGTTGCTTTTTAGTGACACACAGCCTCTGACCCTGGAGGTTATATATAGTTGTGACTAACATGATTAATGGAACATTTCTCCTTAAAGTTGTTTATTGCCTTTTAAAAAACCATACAGTCCCTCAAGATTTACATTTTCCAGGAAGCTTTTGGATTCCCTTTCTAGTTCTTATACCTTAATTACAATAAGCCAAAATATGTGTATTTACATATTCTTTCCCTGTCTTTTGCAAGCTCTTTGGGATAGGGATCCATCATATCTGTTCTTTGTACATAGATTAGTGGTCATCATCTAACCTATTCACTGGAACTTCAAATATTACAAAAAAGGGAGAAAAAAATTCCATGTTCTCTATGCATGTTTATATAAAACTTTTACCTTGTCTTCCCCTTAGTCACTTTTTTGTCAAAACTAAAAAAACTCCAAGCACTGTCATCTTTACTTACTAGGGGAATTGTTCCAGCCTTCTAATCCATTTTGATTGCCCCTTTTGTGCCCTCTTCAGTACTGTAGTATTCTATTTGAGGTGAGGTGATAAGGACTATAAACAGTATTCCAAGTGTGGCCACTTCATAAATTTGTGTGAGTATATTACCAGACTAGCAATTCTCTTTTTCTCTCCCTCTCCTAATGATCCCTAACATCAAATTGAATTTTTTAAAGCTGCCACAATGTTGTTATCGATCTTTCATGATTTAGTAATCACTTTCCTGATCGGTTGTATTTTTTTTTACCCCAAGAAATATTATTTTATACTTACTTTTGATCATCATTTGCTAAGGTTTTCACAGTTTGAACCTTCTGGACTTTTCACAGTTAGCTTGGGTTTGTAGTACTTCAAGTAAGGACAAAATAAGGGAAAGCTTGGGTATGCATTCTACCTGTTCTTTTCAACATACTTCATCAATTTTGCTAGTAAAATTTACAGTAATTTCACTACATTAGAAAGTTGAAGTTTGTAGTACCGGAAGTATGGAATATTCCTGTGGATTAGAACACTTGTAAATACTGTAACTATAGATAGCATAACGGGAGATGCTTTGGGCAGAAAATCTATTGATAGGTTGTTCAAACTAGAGGGGTTTTGGAAACAGAAATATTTGTATTTCTAGGCAAGACGAGAGATCCTGAAGATTCACACACGAGAATGGTCCCCTAAGCCATCAGAGATGTTTCTTGAAGAACTGGCTGAAAAATGTGTTGGTAAGATAACAGCAAATGTCAAACATCTGAGTTTGAAAAAAAGAATTTTGCCATCTTGCACAATCCTACTAATAATGCTTTTGATACAGTTGCTTGTCAGCATGGGTCTTTAGGGATTTTATTTTTTTAAGAAATGCCAAAAGTTGCATCTTCACTCACATGTGTTTGCATGTACACACTGAACTTAGTATCTATCCATACATAAACAAAATGGCACCATTCATGCAAGAGGAGGAGATACTGGCACATTTGGAGGTGAGAGGGATGATGTAACTTAAGGTTTGCAGACATTAAAAAATCTCTTTTAAAAAACAGGGAAACAGCCTTACTACAGCTGAGCAACCTTACTGGCCAGGAACTGCTGATGGTTGGGGGAGAGTAGAACACTACAACATTTTGCAGGTTCCCTATATATTACTTTGTACAGAGTACACAAAGCCCTATTTGCTTTTTGTTTCACTAAAACAATGTTACTGTAACACAGACCTGCTTGGGGACAGTGTTATGGTTGTGAAGGATTTAGGTGTGAATGCATTGTGCATCTGTGTACAGGGGATGAGGAAAGTGGGCTGACTTGATTCTTTGAGCATCTTTCAAGAACTGCACTCTAGTAGTGAAGCAGGCCAAAAGCAAAAGGGGCAACATCAGAATACCAGCATATATTTTGTTAAAATTCGTACTGGCAGTAATTAAACCCTAGGAAAGTAATTTCAAGCTTTTATAATGGGGAAAAACATGCACAAGCTAGAACACCAAATGAATAGTAGGCAGGGAAAGGGGTGTGACCATCTGTGGGATTGCGAGTGCCAGATTTGGTCTGTAAACCTTAGGTTCCCTATCCCAATGCATATTTTGAAAAATATGCTATTTTAAAGGCATTGCCATTTTTTGGATTATTTCTGCACAGTGTTCCATTCACAGTGTTAAAAGATACATGATAGACAACCCTTGCTGGGGTCTTAAATTTATACTGACCTTATTTGACATTTTCCAAAACATTTAAATTGCTGTTAATAGACACAAAGCAATCATAAAATCAGTACAGGTAGTTGCTAGGTTAAGAATGAGTTCTGTTCCTGCTAGCATCCTTAAGTTGAGTTTGTATGTAAGTCAGATCATGTGAGTAAGCCAAATTGTCGTATATGTCTAATATGTCTACATTTCAGCTTTCTGTGCATATAACACACTTAAACACTTCCATATTCAATTTGATTATATTGTTACTGATTATATATTATTCTATTGTATCGCCCTATTGATTGTTTTTATCGGTTGTTGGTTTTAATGTTGTAAGCCATCCTGAGACGATGTCGTAAAGGATGGCATGTAAATGTTTTAAATAAAATAAAGAAACAAGGAGGAACTCTGCAACTTTTTGCATATTGTGATTAGATTTTTAAACTATTTACTTTTCTTTATAGGGTACTGTGGTGCTGATATTAAATCTATATGTGCTGAAGCAGCTTTGTGTGCTTTGCGTCGGCGTTATCCTCAGATATATACCAGCAATGCCAAGTTGCAGTTGGATATCTCTTCTATTAATATAACAGCTAAGGATTTTGTAGTGGCTATGCAGAAGACCATTCCTGCTTCTCAGAGAGCAGTGACCTCACCTGGCCAAGCACTCTCCACCATTTCAAAACCACTCCTTGAAAAAACACTTCAGAAAATCTTGGAAGTCTTACAAAATGTCTTTCCACATGCAGAGTTAGCACAAAAAGGAGGGGAGAAATCAGGTAATTCAATATTGATACAGGGCAGAAATGGCTGAATATTTAACAATGATATATGCATTGATTTTGTTTTAATAAAATGACTATGTGACAAATAATAATTTCCTTCCTGTGCCCAATGATACTAATTCCCACAGCCACAAACAGGCAAGAAAGAAAAGGTAGACTTGCGATACTCTGGTTGTTGTGTGCCATCAAGTCTTCTCTGACTTACGATAACCCTTTGAATGAATGCCCTATGAAATGTTCTGTTCTTGACAGCCCTGTTCCGTTAACTCTTGTAAATTTAAGGCTGTGGCTTCCTTTATGGAGTTAATCCATCTCATAGCTATTTAATGTGTTTCATGGGCCTGTTTTTAAGCAGTTACATTTAGACAGGATCATAGCATTGAACTGGATTACGAAACTCTCAATGCAGATGAAATCCCAGTGGTCTCTTAACCTGGGAGATTGACAAGGAGAATAGGAATGTTACATTTGTACAAAGCCTTAAAAATAAGACAGAATATTCAAACAAAATTTTTGTTCTTCAAAGATTTTCCAAGTCATGTGTTTGATCCTGATTTGCTGTACAGTGATGAAGAGGGACCACCAGTATTTGAAACAGGTCATTCTCAGAAAAGTTCTGATAAACGGAAACAAAATTTCCTTAATTTTAACAGGTAAGTGATGAACTAGCATTGTGGCCGAAAAAAAAGATTCATGTATGAAACTTGTTTTCATAATGATTAATTTCATTTCTGTTTCACCCACAGCAGACACTTTTGGGGCGGTTTACAACAATTCATAAACACAGGCAATGAACATGCAATAAAAACATAAAATCAGAAAAAAGTAAAGTTTAAAATAGTTTATGGTGGTGGTCAAGGGTTTGTTTGTTTTTTAATGTATGAGTTTCCTTGCCTTTTTAGTCTCCTTGCTGATCAGAACTGAGGCCTTGCTGTAGCCTGTTTATTTTTGGGTTAAATTACTAATTAGATTGTGCATATGTATACTTAAACACTGTAACAGCTGCTGCTTCTATACAAAAGGAGGTTTAAAGTAAAGTAGCAATGAGATAGTGGTGCTTTGTCATTAACATGCTTTTTTCTCCCTATCCATTGTTTTGAGATGTATTTGTGAGGGTAAATATGCATCTGGAGCTCCACAGGGAGAGTCTGTAGAGGAGGGTTCCCCAAAAACTAGCAGAATGGGAAAGAGTTAAGCACTACTTCACCTGCTACTTTGCCACTGAAAACTGCATGCCATCTTAAGATTTTAACTTGGCACTTCCAAACTACACTGTTGTCACCTCCTGCTGTTACATCTTAACTATAAGAAAGACCAGCTATTCCTTTGGTTGAAAATTAAATACAATAGGAAATGTTACAAAGTAGACTGTTGTACAGTGGTACCTTGGCTCATGAACTTAATCCGTTTGATGACTGTGACCCAAATTGGTTGTGACCCAAGTCAAATTCCCCATAAGAGTCAATGTAAATAAGGTTAATCTGTTCTGTAACTATTTTTTTTATCAGAAAAATTTGAAACGAAGCGACAAAGGACAACAAAGTACAGTACAGTACATTGGAGAACACTAACCTAGGTGGCGGGGAGGTTATCGTTTTGAGGAAGAGTTCCCCTCCATAAGGACATTGGGGAGATCCCTTTTAGGGGATTCTTTTCTTCTTTGTCGCTTAGCTGCAGAGTCAGTTTTGGTGAAAAATCTGTCCATAGTCATTTGTTTTTTCCTGCGCTGCATAACCCTCTGGAAATGAGAGACCACATTATTGTTCATAAGATTCAACACTCTGTTCATTACAGTTGTGTTGGGGTGGTGTTTCTCAAAAAAATCCTGGCACTCATTCCATTTTTTTCATAATGGATTATATTACATCGCTGCTAACCTCCTCCCTGTCTTCCTCAATGGAATCCTCCTCAGCAAGTGCCTTCTGCTTTTCCTCTGGAGTTGAGCAGGTTCCTCTGTCATCATCTCTATGTCTTTCCTGCACAAACACAACTGCAATCGTAGCCATCTCCCCACTCAGGGGTGGGGAGATGGATGCAATCATGCTGGTTGGAGTGGGGGAGATGGACAAGGTTGCGCCCATCTTTCCTGCAGGAGCATGCTTGTGATCACGCATGTCTTCCCTGCACAAACGCAACTGTGATTGTAGCCATCTTCCCACTCGGGGGTGGGGGGGGGGAGATGGCCACAACCTTGGTTGCCACCCAATGTGGAGTTCACGACCCAAGTCAAAATTTTCATGAAATTTTTGTTCGTGACCCAATTTGGTTGTGAACCAAGGCATTCGTGAGCCGAGGCACCACTGTACTTGGTTGAGACAGATAAACTCTTAGGCAAGTGAGATATTTGAATGCTTTGCTCTGTAATTTTTGCATACAGATTGAGAGGAATTACTGTTTTAAATTAACCCTCTGCATAAGTCAGAGATGGGAAAGCTATTTTTTGGATTTCTTGAGGGCAAACACTTCTGTTGAAAGAATCCAAGAGGGCTGTTTGTACTGGATGGAGAACTTAAGTAGTCTGCACTGGTATAAGACATGTATACTTTTCCATTGTTTTCCACAGGTACATAGTGATTGAAAACTGGGTTAGAAGTTCATGAAAACTGCTATATGCGTTATCACATAAAATGATAGCATGTGGGAATTTTAACTTGGAGCTGAACAACACATTTAAAGATTGCTTAGCAAGGGGAGATGAGGACAGATAAGCTTTGAGGGAGGAAAATATTTTAAGAGTTGTGCGATTCTCTCTTCTTTTTTAAATAGAAGTGCTTATCATCAGCCAACATCTTACCGACCAAGGCTCCTAATAGAAGGAGAACCAGGATTTGGACAGGCCTCTCATTTAGCTCCAGCTGTTATACATGCTTTGGAAAAATTCACTGTGTATACATTGGACCTTTCCATTCTCTTTGGAGCTGGTGCCAAAACACCTGAAGAAACATGTGGGCAGGTATTACAAGTTAATGTACTGCTACTGGAACATATTTCAGATTGTTTCTATGGAAGTGGAAGATTCTTTTTTTTTCTAGAGGAAAGAAGTATTTGTCTGGTAAAGACTGAGTCTGAAGTATAAGAATTTATTCCAGAAGTGGTTTTTTTTGGGGGGGGGGGATTACAGTTCTCTTAATCTTTGGCCATGTTGTTAGGGGTTGATGGGAGTTGTGGTCAAAAATATTGGGAGGGTAGAAGTACATTAAAATGTTCATGAGTTCTTGTTTTGTTTTTGTTTTGTCAGTCATATAGTTTTCACTTCTTTTTTAGTATCTCTCTTATCGAACAGAACACAACCATCCTATATGGGAGCATCCAGAATTGATTAGATTAGAATTGCTTAGATCAAATGACAAGCATATTTTCTTTAAGTGGAAGTGGCTTCTACAAGATGGTGAAATATTACAGTATAGTCCATTTGGAGTCAGTTGAAGTTTACATTTTAAATGCCTATGACATGTGATTTAAACAGGTGACTTTCGAGATAGCTTTTGCTTTCAGAAGGTACTCCAGATACATGAGTATTGCTGGTGTGTGTTTTTTTTAAGCATGCTATATAATGCCACTTTGGTTTTCCTGCTTTCTATCCTGAAACCAGAGCAGCCATTTGCACCAAAAATTTCAAAATCCAATATATAAACACACTTCTGTCTTGCACCAGGAATTCTGTGTTTCCAAGCCAACTGCTGATCCCAGTTTGCCATGGAAGCACAAGGAAAAAAGGAAGCACCTAGAGGCCAAAGGTTGCAAAACCTCTAAAAAGCCTGTAAGACAAAGCATACCAAGAAGCCACATTGCTCTCTAGCTCATCCTGAGCTCTGCAGTTCTCTAACATGACTGACTGCTCCAACTGAGTCACCTGTACCAACAATACCTCTACTCTTTGCTCCCCATCTCCAGTCCAGTTGGATCATATCTGCATCCATTCTGAGCCATTAGGATTGACATCTTTTTCTGAGGGATTCAGGACTCACCACCAGAATCTCCAGCTACTCATAGCTCTTCAAGGTTGCTTTACAACCTGCAGTGTGATTCAGCCATGCCGCTAGTACAACCGACACTCTGTCTGAGCTGTGCACCTTCCTCCAACCCATTGTGAGCTTCCATCCATGACCACTCGAAAAACAACAGTTACACCTATGCAGCCTGCCTATTCTATTCCTTATGGGTACATTGTCGTCTTCTTTTCTAGTTGATCTGTGAAGCCAAGAGAACTGCACCAAGTATAATATATATTCCAAGTGTTCATATCTGGTGGGAGACAATCGGACATACAATGCAAGCAACATTTACTACTTTGCTACAGAATATTCCATCTTTTGCTCCAGTTTTGCTGCTTGCAACATCAGATGTTCGTCATGCAGTTTTGCCACATGAGGTACTCGCTTTTAATTAATTTGCAAGATAATTTTTTAAATTCATAATACTTCACAGTCAATACAGCTGAATTGTTTAGCATGATAATCAAGGTCAGGGAGAGAATGATACACTATTAAAATTTTCTCTTCTGATATGCATTATTCCTTTCTATGGAAAAATTGCAATGTCTCATTGCTATTTAAAACACTAGTACATTCCACCATGAATCTGGAAAATGCCAAGTAAATAAATTAATGTTAGATTGATTCATATCCACCATAATCAATGTAAAAGTCATTTCCATTTTGTTAGACCAGTATTAAGTAGAACCTCAGTATTGTCTGTGACTTCTGATAAATAGTCTTTGGGTTTTGTATACAAACTTTTACATATTGTTCTCTTGATAACATGTATTTTTCAACTGCTTTACAAATTCTTTTTAGGTGCAAGAATTATTTGCTGATAGTTATGGAGAAGTTTTTAAAGTACAGTTGCCTAGTGCAGAAGAGAGAAGAAAATTCTTTGAAGATTTAATTCTTCATCAGGCTGTGAAACCACCTGCATCAAAAAAGAAAGCAGGTTAGAATGTGCAGCAGATGAACTATGGCAAAAGCTTATGTAGATTTTGGATCATGGCAGATAATAAGTGATAACCAAATTACCAGCTATTATATTTTTCAATCTTCTATTTTGGTTTTAAGTTTTGCAGGCTTTAGAAGTATTGCCAATAGCGGCACCACCTGAACCACGGCAACTGACAGAAAAGGAGGTCAAAAAACTTGAGGAGCAGGAAGAAGATACTTTACGTGAACTCAGGATTTTCTTAAGAAATGTTACTCACCGACTTGCCATTGACAAACGTTTCAGAGCCTTTACAAAACCAGTTGACTTGCATGAGGTAATTATGATTTTATTTCTTCTTACCAATGAAATATGCTTTGTTCCAAAATATAAATAAATAAATGCTTCATTTTCTACAAATCAAATAACCATGCAAAATAAAACTTTTTGGTTTTGCTACTTCTGCCTCTTGCTTTGGTTCAGTGACATGAAACTAGAGGGTGTTTTGCCAATATCTTGGGTTACCTGCATTGTGAACATCATCCTGCCCTATTGTGCCACACATTAGGGAGGAGGAGAGGCTTGGGGAGGACAATGGACAGGACTCATGGAGGGTGCTTAACCCACTGCAGGCCATACTGAGTCCTCAGGCTAGCAGTTACTCTGTCCTGTCCTAGCCCCTAAGTTGAGCTCTTCCAAACATGTGCATGTGTACCATTTCCTTGCCTTGAGACTTTTCATAGATTTTTCTCAGAAGCTAGAGTACCTGGGATCTTGTAACATGGTACCAGCAGTTAAACTTGGGATCTTGCATCATAGCTCCAGGTAGTCACTAGTTGGATATGATTGCGTGCACAAATGATTGCCTGCATTTTGCTTTAGTTCCAAAACCCTATACAATATGTGTTGTCCTAAAATGCAACTTCAGTTACTTTAAGGCCAACATCATAATGTGTCAAATATTCTTAAAACAGGCCAAAAATATTGAAGTTTTCATTTGTATTTTAAGTGAAACATTCCTAAGTCTGTTTCTACTGTTAAACTTGCAGGTACCAGACTATGTCACAGTTATCAAGCAGCCAATGGATCTTTCAGCGGTTATCTCAAAAATTGACCTTCACCAATATCTGTCTGCTAAAGACTATCTGAAAGATATTGACCTCATTTGTAGCAATGCATTGGAGTACAATCCAGATCGAGACCCTGCAGGTGAGCATATGCTTAGCTATTTAACTTTTGATTTTGACATCACAGAATGTTTATTATCTGTTAAAACAGGACTGATGTAAAACCCATCTTAAATATAACTTGCTTTTTATTGTTTTAATACTTATTTGAAAAAATTGCCATACTGCAAAAGGGAGTCTTAAGTGCTACATAAAATTAGTTGAAACTTTGGTTAGCTGGTGCAACATATTTTTGTGTGTTCATTTTTAGATCGTCTCATTAGACATAGAGCCTGTTCTCTCAGAGATACAGCATGTGCAATAATTAAGGAAGAAATGGATGAAGACTTTGAAAAGCTTTGTGAAGAAATTCAAGAGTCTCGTAAAAGAAGAGGTGTGCATTTTTCTTACAATTTGACATTTTAAAGTGCAGTATAATATAGTTGAGATCCAAAAAGCACAACTAAAGTACATATATTCAAAGGAACACCCAGTTTATCTTTATCTGTGCAGCTTCTTGCACAATATTAAATCCTTCCATGTGTTCTTAAAGAGCAGTGCTATGTGGGCAAACATAGACAGACAAAGGGCAATAAGAGAAGAACTTAACATGTTTCAATGTGCATGCAATCCTATGAATCCTGGGCTAGTTTGCTCACTCTCTCATATGCTTGCTAAAATATGCATTCACATTCATAAATAATATAGGAATATGGAGCAGCAATGTTTTGTAAGGTATGTTCACAGTAATTTGTTTCCTTTAAAGGTTGCAGCTCCTCAAAATATGCTCCATCTTACTATTACGTGATGCCAAAGCAGAATACCACCTTGGAATACGTGAAAATGGATTCTGAATGTGGTGAGAAACTGAAAGTCCCTCCAGCGCCTCTGGATTCTAGTTCTCCTTCCCTTTCTAATGGTAAGTGCTATTTTATTACTATTTCTTATCGGTCTGTGTGTTTACGATTTGAGAAGTTTCTGAAATGATTTCAAGTTGAATCTTTAGCAACCATGTAATGACAGTACGCAGTATAGACAGCACACATTATAGATGTTTGCTTCCAGTTCAGGTTTCAAAATACATTTTTTACTTGGTGAAGTCTTTTTGTGCTTGTGCAGAACCTCATTTAGGAAGTAACTAAAGCTGAAAAGGAGCTTTGTCAGGCACCCCACCACTACTTCCCAACTGCATGTTTAAAAGTCTGCTCATTTCATACTGTCAGATCAGAAGCATCAAGGAACACACTTGCTGAGATGGTATCAGTCTCATTTCTTTTTATCCATATTTTTTCATTGTTTTTTCAGTTCTTCAATTCTACTTTTCTTGTTTGTTTTCCTTGACCTGGTTCACATGACATGACAGGGTCATTTGAGGTTCATTCAGACAAACACTAAGTGTTTACTTTGGAAATGAAAAACTTGGAAGAAATGGAGTAGTTCTAATACTGAGGCAAGATGGAACAGTAAGGACTATAATGCAAAGTCCAACCGTATCATATCAAGCAGCATTCTCAGAAAACCTGTCTCCATAACCACCTTTAAAATCTATTCTCCAACATGGTGAAGAAGAAACAGGAAGACCAACAGTTCATTTATGTGAAAGTTCACATGCAAACTCCTGTATTCAAGATAACTTCCATAACTTAGCAATTTCTGAAAGGGCCATCATTTGCCCATAACATTTGTTCGAAGCTACTTCATTACTTTGTGGTGGGGAGAGTTAGAAAAGATGGAACTAAAATTAGTTTGTTTTCACCTTTTTTGTAGCTTTATCAAAGAAAAAACTTAGAAGAAAGAGTAGGTGGTGCCTGGGTAATCTAGCAAAGCGGAAGAAGACATCTCACTTCAATAAAGAGAACAAAGCCCCAGAAGAAGAGCAAGATGAAGGAGAGAGTGATGGAGAAGAATGTCAGGAAAATCATGAGTCCAGCTTAGAACAAGCTGAAGTTGAAATAACTCAGGCATCATTGCAAGAACCTGAAATTGTGCTTCCAGAGCAGCATGCAAATGGCAGTATAAATAAATCTGACAGTGAAAATGAGAGTGAGAAGACTGTTGAGAATGGTTTTAAATGTAGATCAGAGAAGGGCAACAAAGATACTGAATGTTCAGAACAAGTCAAAGGGTATAATGTGGATGTAATGGAACAGACATTAGATAAAGACACTAATGGTAAGTGGAAAATTATGAAATACCAAAATAGATTGTGTTGATTGATTTTTCTCCCCACAGCATCACATTCTCAAGATTTTGCTTTGTTTTGTTCGAGAGTTTGATGCTTCAGAAACTTAGATTCAGCATCTATTTTCTAGTTACCTCTCCTAAGTAACATTAGAAGTATAGAATCATAGATTTAAATTTGTACTGTACTGTTTTCTACTTAGTTGAGACTAAATTCCATTGTATTCAGTGGGAAATTGTTTCTAAGTAGATAGATATAGATTTAAGGCTGTGTTAAATAGTAGTAATTTATCTCAAAAATCCCCTGGAGAAATTGCGGAAAACTGTGGCCTTATAAAGAAAAGTAAAGCAGAGGTGGACTTTTAAAAATCATTATATTAAAAAAAACTTTTAAAAAATTTGTTTTTGCTCCTCCGTGGAGGTAATATATGTATATGTGATAAAGAACACTTCCTTAAATTGAGGAATATGTAACTAATGCTAACATTTTCAGTAGGTTATATCAAATATATGTTAATAAATACCTGATAATGTCTTACCTAGACTTTTCCTTCTTGGTTTTGTTGAATTGTATATGTTTCTCCATGTGCAGATATAATAGTACGTATCATATCATGCACTGATAAACTTTGTCTCCATATTCTTCAGATTTGCACAGACACCATATTGCTTTATCTTTATTGTTATACAAAGGAGCAGCTTTCTTTTCTGTACTCTTTCCTTTCCTCTTGCCATTGGGAAGAATAGGAGAGGATCAATAGAATTCATCTCTGTCTTTTGCCTTTGTTTTATTGTTGAAAGCATCAATAACATTGATACTTGAATTACCTTGGTTTGTGTTTTCGCCCATGTGTCTGTGTACTAGTCTTTGAAGAGGAGATATTCAAAAGAAGAGGAGGGTTCATAGCAAACGAAAAAAGTTTTAACTTCTCCCTAGATACAATTGCTTCCCAGAACCTGGTCAATTTTACAAACAATTTTCAGGTCCTTGCCACTGTGATAGTCTTTCACTGTCGGGAACATTGGTCATGTTGCACTTGTATAGTTTGCAAGGAACAACTCAGCATCACTCATGAATGTGATACTACTTCTATATTACATAATTAGCTCCCTCAGTGACATTCTAATAGTATGACTACTGTTCATTCTAGCTTCGTATTTGTTACTCTAGATGTATCCACACTTCGCATGACCCGTGCAAGGCGCTCTCAGGTGGAACAACAGCATCTCATCAGTGTTGAAAAAGCTATGGAGATTCTCTCAGAGCAAACACCACCACTCATTGTGGACTATGCAAAGCTTAATGTAGGTGTATACATTCTCAGAATACTGACGTAATAAGAAATAACTGAAATGAACTATGAAGTGAAGGTATCATAAGAACTAGGTGTAATGTTAGTCTCTTGATGCTTTAGGTATGTGTGCTATTTGATTCCTGTTTGATACTGCTAAAACAGGACAGAAACTCATTTTAAAAGAATTGCAAGTTTTAAGAACTGGTGCTTAAGTATGCTGCTGCTACTGCCACTCCCTCTCCATCCTAGTTTCATTGGAATACCCAAACAGACCGTAAATTACATTTCAAAATCAAGAGCTTAATGGTAGTGCAGGGAGAGAAACAGAAAAATCCAGAAATAGCTCTGGTGTACATACATCCAATCTACTTGGTTGGATGAATGGCTGTATTATAGCCTGTGTCTTACTGTGTTCTGTAAAACACCATACAGTCCACTGCTAAGAACTTTGGGAAATAGTTTTGTTCTGGTTTTGTTCTCTTTTACAGGAATTGCTGGAAATAGTTACTGAGAAAAGCAGAAACTACACTATACTTCAGATGGAAAAACTTTATGCCTTGCTCAGCCAAAGTATTTATCGATGTCGCAAAGACCATGACAAAACCAAATTGATCCAGGTATGGTAATCTGCACAATGAAGTCTTCTGAATATTTAAAGCTGTTCATTGAGACTTTGAGCTTCTATTGTGTGTTTTTACACTAACTTTTCTGTTGGTCTGTTAGTTTCTGCGCCAGATAATACCACAAATACATTGGAGAATTTGATACCATTTTGATAATTTCAGCTGGGACTAGAGATAGAAGGTTTTTGTTTATCCATTCTGTCTGTTTTGCCAATTTTCAGACATTCTTTGCTATGTTGTCTGCTTGTTGATAGGATTGAAGTTCTATTTCCTTCCTCCACCACTGCCAATCAAGAAGGAGAACACATGTGCACACAAAGCTGCACAGCAAAGAGATCAGAGATGTGTGAAACATTTTATTTTAAATTATAGTTTATTCACCACTAATTTTTGTGCAGCTAAATTTCCATATAATTTGACACGTTTGCAAATCTGTGGAATCCGTGGGTTGAATTTACAGAAATCCAGAGTTGGTTGAATAAGTTGCAGTCTTTTTTAACATGCTTAGCTGAGGCAATAATCATGCCTGCCAGCTTCTACTTTAGATTTTTTATTGCATTCAACCTCATATATTTACCTGTCAGCTTCTTCAGTACCTAGTATATTAGCATATCCCAGAGGATTCCCACCCATGCTTTTATTATTCTTTTTAAAAATCTATTTTAATACAAAGATTTGTATGAAATATATACAGCTTTTTAGCAATTACATATAGGTTCTGCAGAAGATCAAATATCTGGGTAAGTATCCATTTAAAGGTGGCTTACTATATGCCATCCATTACAATATAGGAGGTGAATGTTTATCTTTTCATTGCTGTAGTATCAGTCCTTTTGTTATCCAAACAGCATAGAGAATCCATTTACATTGAAAAATTTGTTAAGTTCTAGGAAGCAGGTAAATAAAAGTGTATGTACCTCAGTGAATATTAGATTGTTCCCATATCAAATTCATGTAATGCCCGCCCCCTAAAGGAGCAACTGTGGGACATTGCCAAAGCATTCTTTAAAAGAAGCAGTAGCTGCATTGCACCACCAGCAATTACCTGCACCATAAATGATCCCTTGTTCAAGAGACCTTGCAGTATCCAATAGGCACGACACATTTTTTTTCTAAGAAGCACAGATGTGACGGGTAGGTGCCAAAGCAGTAGTCCACTGATAGTGTGGTATGTGATGCTTAGAGTACTGGCCTGAGGACCTGAAAGGTCTGGGTTTTAGGTCCTCACTTGATCATGAAGCTGGGTGACCCTGAGTCTGTGGCAGACAATTAGGCACCCTATCTCACAGAGTTGTTGTTACATTGTTGTTACATTTCTATACTGCCAGAGCTCTCTGAGCCAGTTCACAGCATTTATGCCACCTGTCCAGATTCAACCAGGCCTGACCCTGATAAGCTTCCAAGGTTAGGCAGGATCAGGCACTTCAGACTATCAATGGAAGGTGGTGGTTGTGAGGATAAAATGGAGCTATGTCAGCCACCTTGGGTTCTTCACAAGGGGGAAAAATGCAGAATATAGATACAACGTAAAAAGCATTTTGTGGTGGTGCCCACTTAAATTTCCCAGTGTGCCAGGGCTTGGTCATCTCTTGTAATTGGTTGTTCTGTGGCAGTCTAGGAACATTGTTTGATTTTCATTATCCTCTATTTGAAAGCACCATTGAGAATTCATGCAAGTGGATGAATAAATTCTTGTACAGTAGGCTGCCTCAGTTTAAATACAACTTTTAGTAGAGGTAAAAGCTGTTGATTACTAAATGTTTGCTAAACAAGTTCTTTTCAGAATAGTGTCTTCCTTCTACGTATGAAACATGGGTTTCTGCATATATTCCACTGGTGGTATTTCTTGATTCCTCCAAAATAAATATACTGAAGGAATCATGACTGCAGCCCTTTCAGGTGTGTCTTTTGACGCCATACTAAGAAAAGTACTCATTTTAATTCTTCATTTAATACTGGGGAAAGTACTAATTTCAATACTTCGTTACAGTGATATTATATGTCACATAATCGCTCTCTTCACTGAGGAACCATACTACAGTTCTTTGCCTCTTCCCACTGAAACTACAGCATAAACCTGCATATGCCTTCACATATGATTAATGTAACAATGTTTAGCAAAAATATTTTAAAATGCTGTCTGATCCTACTTTTATCACTGGTGCTTTTTTCCCATTTTCAGGAAATGGCAAAAGAAATCGCAGCCTTCAATTCCACCCATGAAATCTTCTAATTTGAAACCTTTATCAGTAATTAATTTGGGACCAACTATAATTTTATACAGTAGATTTAACCTAATGCTCCTGATTTTATCTGACATGAGTGCAGAAGCCCCAGTTCTGTAACGAATTGGAAGCTAGAACTAAAGAGGACAAGAGATCTCACCATGGTGCCTAGCAAATCTTTGTGTATTTCCTTTTATATTCTTTTCAAAACCTGCCTTATAACTATCAAGTGAAAACATTTTTTAAAACAAAACTAAAAACTATTTTGGGGAGGAAGAATATTAAAATTTTGAACATAATGCATCACTTTTTCCCTGTACATTTAATAAGATAAATGCTAATTTAACATTTTTCAATCAGATCATGTATATATGTTGAACCTGTATTTAAAAAATACAATTGTTATCTTTAAAACCCATTGGGTTTTTAAATGACAGAAAACTTGAGCACTCTAGTTTCCCATATTTCCAACAGCATGCATTTTTATCACTGTGCTCACTGTTAGTGTTGATGCAATCTGTATTATCTCTTTACTGCTCTAAATGTTATGTAATATATGTATTAATTATTAATGGAGAAAATAAATTTCTGTATTTGTAATATTCATTGAATGGAAACTTTTAGTTGCAATATTAATGGCCAGAACTTCCAAATCTAGCTTGTTAGGATATGGTGGGTGTGCCCTTCCACTGGCAGAAAGGTGTTCCACAGTGATGGACACAATGCCCATGGAGAACACCAACAGGAGGGAAGCTCCATTTGTTGTTTGCCTGTACAATGTTATAGAGTTTAATCTTTGTATATTGCCCTGAGAACTTCAGCTGTTTGTGTAGAATTGTAATCAATGAAATGAAATCAGATGGCTGGAACTGGTTGACAAAGTTACATTGCTTCCAGCTTTTTAGTTTAGAAAAAAGGTAATTAATGGAGAACAGGTTAGAGATGTAGAAAAATTATTTATTTTTCGATTTACAAAGGGCTCAAGGCAGCTTACATCTCCTCCATCTTATCCCCACAATGACAACCCTGTGAGGTAGGTTGGACTGAGAGTGTGACTGGCCCAATGTCACCCAGTTGGCTCCAGATTATGCCTACCATGAAAAAAGTGAATAGAAGTTTCTCATAGTGATGAAATTTGGAATAATTGGCAAGATATTCAGGTTAGTCAGAACAATTTTTTTATGGGTTACTTAGTTGCCAGAAGATGTGATGACCACTAGCAGATACCACTTTAAAAGGGGATTAAATTCATGCAGGTTGCATCCATCTGTCTCCTGGTTCTAAAGCAGAATGCCACTGAATACCAGCTGTTGATGGGAGTGAGAGCTGACTGTTGCCTTCATATGTTTCTTTGGGGGCTTCATAAAAGCATGAAGCCACTGTGGAACTTTGGTCTGAGTTAGAAGAGCTGCTCTTAGGTTTTTGTGGTGTTGCAGCAAATTAAAAAATGGCTGTCCCTTCATTATTGTCGGAGCTACACCTCAAAGCCACACCCTCAAGCTACCCCTATTTCCCAAGATCATTTAACCTATAAATGAGCTTTGCCACTCTGATGAACTTGATGAGTAATGAATACAAGAGCCTTATGGCTAATGAGGTGGGCTAAAAAATAAATGAGGGCATCTTTTTTTGAGGTGAAACAATGGCAGCTTCTAGAAGCTATTTCTTATATTTATTATGAATGAATGTATTATATTCATATCCCACTCTCCAGCCAAAAGCTCCCAGGTTACTATCTAAAAACATGGTATACAAGGGGAAAGGGACAGGAAGGGAAGAGGAAAAAAGGCAACTTGCACACTTTATCCACACTTACAGAAACAGTTCAGTTCTATTCCCTCTAGAGCCGCAGTCTGGATCACTGTTTGGTTTCTTTTAATTTTCTGTGGCCTCTGCAACCACTGAGACTGTACATGTGTATAAGGGATATTTCATGAGTTCAGAGTCCATAGTTTAGGGGTTCCAGTTTCTCAAAATAACCAATAATCTTTTATAGTGCTCTCATTGGATCCATGCTGAAATATGCATAAAGTACTGCAGTTGTGATACTTGTATTCCTCTGTATTTCTCCCAAATAATTCTGGGACTAAGAGCTGCTCGAAAATACCGATTTGCCTCACAGCAATGGTTTTTCAGTCAATCCCTCTTCCCCAGGAACTCTGGAAACTACCTGTTTGAGAGGCAGGTGTCCATTACTGACAGTACCCTTGATTAACTACGGTCCCCAAGATTGAAGTGAAATGACCCATAAAAGTGTTCTAAATGTGTAGTATGAATGCAGGAGTGAAGGGAGAGAGTTTTTGCAGCAGGACCGGCAAACTGACCACATGCTGAGAAGCAGAGGCGGACTACGAGGGAAAGTGTCACTGAAAACGTGCATGCAGGGCGGGCCTCTCCAAGAACTTCACAGGAACTGTTAGGAACTCGAAAACACGGGTTCTTAACCTGTTAAATTCAGTACTCCCAATACAGCGGCAGCTGCCAGCCACTAACCAGCAAAATTACAGTCTTGAAAGAGGCAGAGGCGGGTAGGACAGTGACCCTGGCTTCAGGAATCCTTAAGGGTCCCCTCCAAAATAAGGGGGCCACGCCAAACCCTCAACGGCTCTCTCCACCACACCTTTGTTCGGTGCAATATAACGGATGTTTCCCACCCACACGTTTCTAGGACAGCGTGTTAATACTTGCAGCGGGACTTGCATAGAATTTGCGAGCTCATAAAGCGTTTTCCCATCCCCAAAGCGCGCAAACTTGAGTTTTTTTTTTTTTTTTTTTAAGGGTGCAGTGCAGAGGCTGAGCAGTTGGGCAGCGCGGATTCCCAGGCAGGCTTAACCCGCCGCTCTCCGAAGAAACTCGGCGCCCTGCTTTGCTGCGATCCGTGTGTGGGACGGAGAAGTGGGTGGGAAGTGGCGGCGTCACGCGGATGATCAAAGCAATCCTCCCGCGGGGCGTCTTGGTTTCTCCCCCCTCCCGCGTCTGTGTCCGCCTCTTTCCTATTTGGTCCAGTTCCCCGTGGCCCGCGTGCAATCCCTCCGGGGCCAATCAGAGGCTTGCTTTCTCTTGGAGTAGCTTGCTCACAGTGGGGCGTTGACCCCACCCACTCCCTAGATTCTCACAGTCCCTGGCAGGGAGGGAGGGGAAAGCGAGCGTGTCGCTTGCAGGGCTGCGGTTTGATCCGCCCTCCTCCGTTGTTCCTTCCTGCTGCTTTCTCTGTGTTGTGTGCATGGAGCGAATGTAATGCAGACACACTCTCGGAGTTAGGCTTCCTGCATCTCTCTTTACTCTCATCCCTAACTGTGCCAATAAATAATAATAATGTCTCCCGATGTCAGGGCAGGTGGCAGGACTAATTTCCAGGTTTCAATCTGAGTGCAAGAGCTCGGCCAGGAAGGTGGGCTTCTGCACGGAGCAGGGGTGGGAAGCGCTGGCCTCTAGTTCAAAGTTCACGAAGCATTGCTATCCCTCCCCCCTCAGCCCCCACCCCCAAAGTGCAGTAGAATGTGTGTGTGTGTGTGTGTGTGTAAATGCAAGATGGCGGACTTGCACTGAACAGGCAGAAACGAGAGCTAAAGGCAGCCTGCAAACGTTGCAAGGTAGGGATTTTTAAAGCGTCTTCTCCGCTCGAGAATACAGGACTGGTGGTGGGCGGGAGTCTGAAACGGCCTGTAAGCCTGAAATGGCCCAGCCGCTGTAAAAGGACAGATCTCTGGGGGAAGAGCTGCTCAAGGAATTTCTTCCCTACAGGCAGCCTTGGAGGCATCACCTCGTTTCGGAGATGTGTGAATTATCCTCTCCTGACCCTCAGCTCTTAAAACACTTTTGGAGCAGCGGGGCTGAGAGGAGGAGGATGGTGGGGGTGAGACACCCCGTTTGCCTTCTCCGTTCCCCTTTCTTTGTGCTGTTTCTGGGGAAACAGGGTGAGGAATGGGCTTCCCCCACAGAGGGACCCCTCAGCCTCAAAAAACAGTCATTGAAGTGATGGATCTCTTGTCACAAATGTTGACATTTTGGAACTGGGAGGGACAGTTTTCTTATTGTATGCGTGTGGTTTCTGGTCCATTTACCTCTATTTGCTATTCTTCTGCTGATTCTTAGGGAGTTAGGAAATTAGATAAGGGTAGCAGCCAGAATTTGGGCCCTGTGGTGGAAAGCGAGAGCGTCTTCATGAAAAATCTAGTGTTATTATAGACCTTACCACTTGGTTTTTTATTTGGCTTTGGTGTGCATAAGCTTACTGTAAAGTTTTATCTGACCGAGATAGAATAAATGCTATAATTTTTTGGGTTAGTGGTAGGTTGGGAATAAGGGAGCCTGTGTGTGTGTTTGTCCTATATGCACCCTACAAAATACATTTGCTGTTCAGGAGGGACTAGTTCATGGGGGAAGGGAGAATGTTCTATGTCTTCTGTAGGTGTGCTTAACAGACCAGACAGAAATTAAGCAAACTGGATTAAATTCATTAGATTTCCATTGCGCTTTTCTCTTAAAGGTTAGCGTTGTGCCCTGTATAGGATCAGCTTAGTTATGCTCACCACAGCCCTCTAAAAGTAGGCAGCCAGGCCTGAAAGGGAGAGTAATTTGTCCAAGTATCAGAAGTGAACAAGGATTTGAACCTGGGTCCCCACCTTCAAGTCCAACTCTCGAGCCCAGCCTTCCCCAGCCTGGAATCCCCCAGATGTTTTGGTTTACACTGCCAGTGTCACTAACTATTGTCTGTACTGGCTGGAGCTGAAAACCAAAATAACTGGAGGGCACCTGGTTGGGAAGGTAGCTATAGCCACCATACAATAATGTCTGGAACTCTTCAGAGCATTACAGATTTTGGGGGCAGTATATATGAACTATGCCGCTAAATCATTCCCATTGGTAAACTACCTGGGTATTGTGCAATTGTATTATAGACATAAATAAATATATAGCTAGGGTGGGCAATCTAAGTCAGTTTAATTTTATGTGGGTATCACAAAAGGAGACAGTAAATGTTACACAGTCCTACAGTGTTGCATATTCTTCTCACTCTGTGATCTGAGTCCACTGCTGATAGTGGGCTCAGATAGTAGGAGAAGATTCCCACCCTGGTCTACACCTTGTCTGTCTTTGAGTTGAAATACCTGCAGCAACATTGATAAGGCAAGTGTTTATAACTAATTTTTTTCAAAGTGTCTAATTGCTTTGTCCTGATCACTGTGTGATAAATGACGCTTCTCTTTACACTTCCAAAAGCAGATGGATATAAAGAAGTGGCATCTTTAATCAGACTTAAAAGAAGTTTATAATTGCAAAGGACACCTGAACTCAGAGATAGGTACTTCTGTGCTACTTCTGGTTTAACATTTGGGGTTTGTTGGGCTTTTGTCCGGTCAGCTAAAGCTGTTGGTATTGCTCACCTTGTTTCTCTGTCTGACCTTTTCTTGTCACATTTCTCTACTCCTCTAGGACTCAGCTGTCAAAATCACCTTTTATTATGAGACATTCCTACCTTCCTGTTTGCCTTCTTCAACTGACACAAGAGCTTTCTCTTTAAAGCTCTTTGTGGTCTTACCCCGCTCTTTCTTGCCTTAGTTTTGACCCCCCATTTTCCAGTGCCAGTACTCTACATTTCTCTCAGATATTCTCCATGGCTGCCTCTTGTGTCTCAGTAGCTTCCCAGGAGACGTACACATTTCTTTCTCTTTTCATCTTTTCTCTCCAGAAAACCTGCCAAAAAATACATGTCTGCATGGACCGGCTTACATTTCTTCCCCAGACTCTTGGATCCTCCTCTGTTAAATACATGCCAAGTAGAAATGCCACTTTGGGTTGAAATGAGTGGAAGTACAACAGAGAGTTCATTTAAAATATTTTCTCAATATGGAGTGTGTCTCTTAAATTAAACATGCATTTAAAATGACTTGTAAAGAGTATAGTATAAGCAGTAGCTTTTGGTCTGCTTAAATATCATGCCCCCCAGCTGTATTGGACTATAACTCCCATCAACCCAAGCCAATGGATGATGGAGTTGCATTCCAACAATATCTGGAGGACACCGCATGGGCAATGCATGCCTTTCTTCTGCCAGGACACAGTCGCTTCCATACTGAAAGCTGTTCCTTGCTCGGCTTGGTAGGAATTGCCTAGTATGTGGTTTATTTAAAAAATTTTTAGCAGATTTTCACTTTATAGAGCAGCTTCAAATATAGTATTGATTTGTTTTCTGTATATCCCAACTTCCCTGCATGGAGCCCAAAGTGACAGCTGTGATCCTCTTCCTTTCTTTCCACTGTATTCTTATCATAACTTAGTGAGATTGCTTAGACTGAGAGTCACTGACTGGCCCAAAGTCAGCCATTTAGCATCATGGCAGAGAGTAGAATGGAATTTGGGTCTCCCCTCTCCTACTTTAAAACTAATCACTGTGCCACAGTGACTCTCATATATAAAGTCCAGTCCATCACTGACATTTAGTACTTATCTGAATACTCTAAAGCATATATAAATCTACGAATCAGATAGTTTCATCTACTAGTGTAAAGATGGCTGCTCTTTGTAGCCATTTGTAGCATGCAGTACACTTTATGATATTAGCAAGAATAACCTTGTAAAAGGACCTAGAGCTGATGAAAAGAGATGAGCTTAAGACAACCCAAATGCCATGTATTTTGCTCTGGAGGTATGAGAGCCATTTCATTTCACAGGTAAAGCACCAAAAAAAAAAAAAAAAAAAAAAAAAACAAGTTAACCTGCTTTTCATGAAAGGAGGAGCAAAAGAAGCATAACTTTTATGAAGAACTTTGCTGAAAATAAACTAGCTTGCAACAGTACCTGTGGATTTTCAGTGGCTTACCAGGGCTTCAATGGGTGTAATTTTTCTGTCTACCGGGGGCTGCAAAAAGAGAGTTGTGGGTCATTCAGCTTCCCCCAACTTGGAACCATCCAGGTATATTAGACTACAGGTCTCATCACCCCATCATTGGTCATGCTGCCAGGCAATGATGGACACTGTAGTTCAACACATTTAGAGGGTACAAGCTGGAAGGTTAGGCAGTATTCAGCCTTCAGTTTCCTGCAGACCAGAAAGAAAAGCAAACTCCATATAAATCCCAGCTGATACTCATTGCAATCCCTTCCTTGTTTCCTCCATCTGGGTGCAAAATGCAAATTTCGGTTGGTGTTCATTTGCTTCCTCACACAAT